CTTTTGCCTCTCGTAATGGAGATGGTTCTAGGTGGCCAACTTGAGCTACACCTGCTCCAAGGTTGTTGCTTGGAGGCAGAAAGGGCAGACTGTGTTGCAGTTCAGCTCTTGGGCCTTCGCAATGCCTTGAGCGAGGGCACCCATACCCATTTATTGATGACGATGGAGGAGGTTAGCATTTCGGGCCAACTGCTCCGTGAACTGGCAGAGTACTCCAAAGTTCATTTCTCTCGGGTTCCGGTCGTGCTCGACTATCTCGAAATCCTTCTTCCTTGCCTATCAAGATCCCTACGAGATATCACGACCTATTACGAAGACAGAACTCTCACCAAGGAGAATCGCTGGCGGAAGATGTACCACTCGATGACCCAAGAAGCTGGGGGCCTTTCACTACCACAGCGCTTTATTCTTTACAATCGTTTTTTGTCCCTGTTGCGGGAGTTGCTATTGAGGTTAGTTGCCAATACTCATTGAACATCCCCAAGAGCCCATAACTCACCGTTGCTAAGATCACCAAATTTTGACTTCAACACTATGGAATGCACTCGATTGCAGTTGATGCAACTCAGGGAAGCCAGAGGCATTCGTAAGTCAGAGGCTGGCCATATAATGCCAATACTAACATCAGAAGCTCCACCCCCTATTCGCCTTAATTCAACAATTCGTCCCGATTCTGTGCTAGATGATGATTCGGGCATCGCGACTGTTAGTACATACTGCTAAAAGATAAGTATAATTGCTTCTGACTATGGTCATAGAATATTCATTGGGCTGAGAAAATCTTCTCTTTACCTCTTCCCTCCCGGACTCCGCTTAAGCATCAGCAGTCGTAAGTCTAGATGAAAACGATAAATCACTTTACTTCCTAACAAGATAATTAGGTCCAAGGCATATGGCCCACACGCTCCCTGGAGTCAGGTTCGCATGCCAAGTGATGCAAGAATCCTTTTCATTCGGTAGGTCCAGGATATCAATAATACACGAGCGTTCTACTTACGGTGCAAGTTCTTTCAATGAGCGCCAGATAACCCTGATAGTATATCAGAGTGGTCGAGACAGGTGCCCATATCTCCTCTTGCGAACGTTCCACATGGGAACTCCATGGTTTTCGCTTCGTGGCGCACACGAACTATGTGTCGAACGCAATGGGAGCAGTCTTCAGTTCTGGAGATGGAGTTCCAGTGAGCACTGCCCCAAGATGTGGGCCAATCTTTGCTTCATGACGTGGGAAGGTATGTCACTACTAGCAAATGCGAATGAAAATTTTAGTTGCTAACCTTCTAGAATTGGTGCTCGTGTACTGCTGCTTTTTGTCTTTCAAGACACGCAATAGTCTTACAGTACAGGTTGCAAATGAAGACCTCGCTCTTTGGGGTGAACGCAAACTGTTCCAAGCGTAAGCATTGACCCTGATTACCCTCCACGCAGCCATACTCATAATAATAGTCGAATCGTGGACGACGGTTTCATGCATTCTCTTATTGTATATGAGGACTATGTGACAAAGGGTATTCGCCTCCACGCTGCAGTCTGGGACGGTGACCTACGCCAATGTCCTGTCTGGACAGCTTTCAGTAAGCCAGCTTCAAGTCCCGAGTTGTCTCATGGGCAGTGGATTAACTGCTGTCCTCCAGTCACACATCAGTCAGCCTCCCCTAAATGGATAAGGAGAGTCAGCAAGACCAGAGTTCGACTTGCTGACATTCAGCTCTACGTCTTTTGCCAGGAATACCGGCAGCAAAACCAGCGAGTCAACCGTGCAGGAGCTTTCGAGATCCGATTCGTGAGTGAAGAAGGTTCGTTGCCCTTTCTCGCAAGAGACCACCATCTAACAATGCATATTCAGCGGCCAAGCGTTTCAAAGAGCTATTCTCTCCTGCGCTCATCGACGAGAGCACCGCCACAGAGTCGACACAAACCTAACCCACGAACAGTGTTTCCTGTACGACACAAACTCGACACTTATAATTTCTCCTGTGAATGGTTGTTTTTCCCCCTTATTCCATTGCATGTAGCCTTTCACTTTGACTCCTGTTTTTTCTAGCGACGGCGTCCCACGAGAGGAACAACGGTTTGACGATTTACGAATAACGATTTCCCTATTTTTAATAATATATTTGAAGTCGAGGGCCACAGATTGTACGATACATCACATCCATTTGAGAGTTCACAGGCCCCAATCAAGTTTCCATACAACGATATCAAGAATGTTTTCATGTCGTGGCATTAACTCATGCTACTGTGCCCCTATTCCTCAGCACACATCCACAGTTTTCCAATTGTTTAGTTAGTAGTTTCAAGAACGCTCAGTTTGACAGCATTGTACGCGATAACAATTTCAGAAACTCAAAATTATCTTGTGTTTGCATCCACCTCTTGTGTTCCCCAATTTCAAAACCCATCATGCCGCGTCTCGTTTAGGTCTTGACGTCAGGCTCGTCACGGCCGACGTGCTCCTTAAACTTAAGAAGCTCTGTGGCAAACTTGACCTCCTCCTTGAGGAAATCTTGAGCGTCCAGTTCGTACTTGGAAGGGTCGTCGGTGTGCTGCTCAATGTACAAGCGAATGGTGGCTCCAGATGAACCAGTGCCGGAGAGTCGAACAACAATTCGACTACCGGAAGAGAAGCCGGCATATAGGCCCTGCTTGGAAGCGACAGAGCCGTCAAGATCGGTGTAAGAGAAGTTGCCAGCCTTGGTAACCTTGCGACCTGGAACAAGTTAGAATGATTTGTCAGCCGAGATTACGAAATCACTCACCCTCAATGGTGCTGCCCACAAAGTTAGAGTCGTTGACGAGCTTCTCTAGCTCACCAACAACCTTGTTGGCGCCCTCAGAATCGACATCCTCGTAGTCGTAGCGGGTGAAGAAAGTACGACCGTACTTGCCCCAGAATTCCTTCTGGATCTCCTTAATTGACGGGGTGACGCTAGGATTTTGGACACCAACACCGGCGATGATGTTGAGCCAAGCGATAACAGCCCATAGACCATCCTTCTCACGGATGTGATCACTGCCAGTACCGAAACTTTCCTCACCGCAGATGGACAGCTTCTTGGCGTCGAAGAGAGCGCAGAAGAACTTCCAGCCTGTGGGCACCTCGTAGCAGTCGAGACCCTGAGCCTTGGCAACGAGATCAACGGCACCACTGGTGGGCATGGAACGAGCGAGACCATTGACGCCGTTTTTCTTGAAGTAGGGAATCAGGCTGGCGTGGTGGGCGATGATAGCCAGGGAATCACCAGGAGAAACGAAGGCATTGGCGCCATAGATCATGTTTCGGTCACCATCACCATCGGAGGCGGCACCAAAAGGAATGTTGTTCTTGTCAACAACCTCGACCAGAGAGTGGGCGTATGTGAGGTTAGGATCGGGGTGGCCACCGTTGAAGTCGGGGCTGGGGACACAGTTCTGGATGGCGTTGCTTAAACCAAGCTCCTCTTCGAAGATAGCCTTTCCGTAAGGACCGGTAACACCGTGGAGACCATCGAATAGGACCTTGAAGTCGGGGTGTGTAGAAAAGAACTTCTTAATCAGGTCAAAGTCGAAGATGTCTTTGAGCATAGCAACGTAGTCGGTGGTGCTGTCGATAATCTCGACCTCAAGGTCACCATATGTCTGAGTACCAACGGTGGAGATGTCGACATCGGGAATATCGGCAATCTTGTATGAAGTCAGAGTCTTGGAGAACTCGAAGATCTTGTTGGTAACGGATTCGGGAGCGGGGCCACCGTTGGCGAGGTTGTACTTGATACCAAAGTCGTTTTTGGGACCTGTTGGTTGTTAGATTTCGGTTTGGGAGAGCAGAATGAGCAGTGAACTCACCACCAGGGTTGTGGCTAGCAGTCAGGAGGATACCTCCGGTAGCCTTGCGCAGACGGATGACATGACTGGCAGCAGGGGTGGAAAGGATGCCGTTCTGGCCGATGACGAGCTTCTTGACCCCGTAGGCGGCACCAATCTTGGCAATAAGCTGGATAACCTCGGGGTTCCAGTATCGGCCGTCGCCACCAATAACAAGAAAAGAGCCTATCAATTGGTCAGATCATGGCTCGTGCTGCAGAGCAATTGGACTCATACCCTCAACTCCTTCGGGAATAGAAAGCAGAATGCTAGTGATGAAGGCCTCGCTGTAGTGAGGCTGCTGAAAGACGGTGACCTTCTTGCGAAGACCGGAGCTATAGACATGAGTCAGTTGAGGTTCTATCAAATGACAAAACTGAGGCTCTGAGGTTGAAGTCAAAGAGAAATAAGCAATTCCTCTTCGGCAGCTCCCGGGCAGTGGGGGAACACAACAGGGAGGATCGTCGAGGTCTAGACATACGTTCCGGGCTTCTGGTCTTGGAAGGGCTTAAACTCAACGGTTTGGACGCCCATGATTGCTTGATATCAGTGGTGTATCAATGAACCAAGCAGTAGTGGAGAGAAGATGGATAAGAAGCTATAATTACGAGGAGAATTGTTGAGGAGGATACAAAGAGGAGAAGGAACCAGAAGACAGCGGTAGGCGACTGAGACAAAAAGAGGGGAGCTTGAGGGAGCTCTGTGGTGGGGTTCAACGAGATGATATCACTCGAACTAATGGAGGGGCCAACCAACTAGTACTGTACATGCTAGGCATAGTCAGGTGCGGAAACACAGTCCATAACAGTGCGCTTCGTTTCGTTGGGAGACAGCATTCTCACGTCAATATGAGATTGGTCCCCATGATAGAAACTCAGAGAATATAATATGGCTATGGCTTGAAGAGAAGAACCAAGAGAAAACCCTAGAACGAGTAATTGGTATCCCATTGGGTACTCAAATGTTGGATACATTAAAAAAAAAAAAAAAAAAAGAATATTTGATCTGTCAGTCATGAACTCGAGTATTGCTCTGATCATGTCATAGAAGCGTGCATTAGCTGAAGAGTTCAATCATGACAACTCTAAAAGTCACGTCGGCATGAGGAGCATTGGCCAGTTTATAACCCACCTTTTCCCATAGAAATTGTTATTGATTCATTGTTTCCCTTTGTTAGGTTTGTTCTTGGCAGGCACAACATCAAACGTCGGCCTGAAGATGACCTCCCTGTAGTATCTAGCCTCCTCAATGCTCTCCAGAATGTCATCCCTCGCCTTGTGCAGACCCTTCTTATTGGGAACCTTATTCACAATCCTCTTGGCTGCCCAGCGTCTTGCGGCCTCCTTGATAGAACTCACGTCAAGAATTCTGTGATGCAGATGTCTCATGACCCGCTTGTAGGGTTCACGTCGCAGAAACGCCCTATCGCAATGCACACTGTTACCGGCAAGAAGACCACGTTTGCGCTCAGGGATGAAGCGTGTTATGTACTCATACAGAGCGTCTGCGGCTTGCTCCGGAGTAGTTGTGGATTCGAGAACAGCAGCGGTGAGGCCAGAGTCTGCGTGTGTCTTTGTGCACCATTCGTCCATCTGGTCAAGGCGGGACTGGGGGAAGTGGATGATGGCGTGAAACCCCTCCTCATCAAGAATCTCGAGGTTTCCTGTGGTGATAATACAGTAGATCTCGATGATTTCGTCGTTGTCTTGATCCAGGCCAGTCATCTGCCCACGATGTGAGTTGATGCCCCTTGTACCACGTAGCAGTACATACCTCGCAGTCAATCCAGACAAGAGGATCATCGCTGGCGCTCTTGGGCTGGTTATCAACCTGCACTTCTGCTACTGTCGACATTGTTGTGAGTTTCGGTGGTTGCAATGTAACGTTGATGTTTGGATCTGGCTTTTCTCATGAGAGATCAGTACTCGAGTAGTGGGGTATGATCCATTCAGAACCCATTAAACTTCCTGTTAGTGCATACCTACAGTTAATCAATGCGCTGGAACGTTGCGTGTATTAATGAGCTCTACCTCATTGGCCGCCATTGTCAACTTCAACCACACGATATACGAAAACAATTCCACAAAGACACAACGTTCAGCCTCAACTGAGAATACGCAGTACGCATAATTGGTCCTTTTGATTGCGATTATTCAGCAGAGACTCTCCTTACGATAATAGTTCTCCTTGTGCTGCCTGCGAGGCATCCGCGAATTATATTGGATGTCTGGCTTCTTCATTTAATCCCCCTCAAGGCAGATACTTAACTCTATCAGCCTTGAACCCATATATAAACAAACATTTTCGTATCTACACACTTTCACCGCTTGATTTCGGATTCTTCATTGCTTGACATGTCTCAACTGAAGAACGTCTTAACAATGCTTACCAAAGCTCAAGATGGAGATGCCGAACCACAGCCAGAGACTCTTGTCTCCAACCCCCCTCCCAAGCCTGAGATGTCAGTGACACCACCACGCTTCCTCATCATCGGCGCTGGATCACGAGGGCAGAACTACGCCGCAGCAATCGACAGCGTATCCAATGGCGTTGTCGCCGCTATTGCTGAACCCTTGAAGTTCAAGCGCGAGTCCCTCGGCCGAGCTCACATCTGGGGTGAAGGCTCCCCTGGAGAAGGCCAGTCTTTCCATGACTGGCTAGATTTTCTTGCATATGAGCAGGACCGTCGAAGACGAGCTGCTTCGGGTGAAGAGAATGTACCGGAGGGTGTTGATGGAGTCTTTGTTTGCGTACTCGACGAGATGCACCGTGAGGTTATCGTCGGTCTTGCACCACTAGGGCTACACATTATGTGTGAGAAACCTCTTGCGTGTTCCCTTCAAGACTGCATCGACATGTACAAGGCCATGCGTCCCTCTCAATCCACCAAGATCTTCTCAATCGGCCATGTGCTGCGATACAGCCCACACAACATCATGCTCCGCAAGCTTCTCATTGAGGAGCGTGTCATCGGCGAAATTTCAAGCGCTGTACACACAGAGCCCGTAGGTCAGTAAAGATGGCACGAATCATAGATCCCTTCGAAAATACAAGCCGATGCTTGATATGTAACTGACAAAGATATGAATAGGTTGGTGGCACTTCACGCACTCATATGTCAGGGGAAACTGGCGCAACGAGAATACCACTGCGCCATCCTTGTTGACTAAGAGCTGCCACGATATCGATCTGTTGCTCTGGCTGCTCTGCTCTCCTGAGAAACCAGGACAGGGAGAGCCACATCTCCCTGAAACGGTCTCATCTGCTGGGAACCTTCATCTCTTCAAGAAAAGTCGTAAGCCCAAGGCTGCAGGGTCGGCAACAAACTGCATGAAATGCCCCCTCGGAGACGAAGGGTGCAAATTCTCTGCAAAGAACATTTACCTGGGCCCCAAACTCAAGGGTCTGCAGGCCGGCAATACAAGATGGCCAGTCAGTATCGTCGTCCATGACATTGAAGACTACCCCTCCCACCAGAAGAAGGAAGAGATGTTGATCAAGGCTCTGGAGGAAGACTACGACGAGTCTACACCAAAGTCGGAGATCCAAGCCCGTAACTGGTTCGGTCGTTGTGTCTTTGAAGCTGACAACAATGTCTGCGACGACCAGTTCGTCACCATCACATGGCCCGAGTCCACCAAGCCTTCAAAGACAGCTACTCTGCATATGGTCGCTCAGACAACAAAGATCTGCGAACGCTACTCTAACTTTTATGGCGAACATGGCGAGGTTCACGCTAATTCACGTCGCATCGTTGTCGAGGACTTTAACACAGGCGAGGTGAAGACATATCATCCTCGTGTCGAAGATCTTGGCCATGGTGGCGGAGACTTGGGTCTGACACGCCAGTTTGTCATGGCATGTGATCGCGTCAAGAACCACAACTGGGAGGCTCCTCGTGCTCAAGATGAGTTTATTGGATGCACCCTTGACGAGGTGCTGCGAAGCCATGCTATGGTCTTTGCAGCTGAGGAGGCGAGACTTGGTCGTAAGGTGCTTGACTGGGAAGAATGGTGGAACGAGGCTGTTGAAGAGAAACTTGAAAATCACAGACATGCATAATGTCAGCTTGGCGATGCATTTCTGAAGTGGTGGTGACTAATGGTCAGAAAGATTTCATTATTAGCGTATACGCTTTATGGCTTTGTGAATTAAGCAACTTTGACTTGGACATTATCATGTTTGATTCGTCAACTAATAAACCATTAGGTTCGTTCTGAGAACAGAAATATACCAACTCATACAATCAAATATTCATGCAAATCCGTTCAAGTGTGAAACCTCACATGTCTTTGCAAAAAGAACCTGCTATCTTTATGAATCCTCCGTTGTCCAGAATGAAACTCCCATTACTCCCATGAAACCATCAACGACACGTCTAGCTCAGCTCAGCTCAGCTCAGCTCTGTTGCCCTCATTTCCCAAAGGTTGGACAGCAGGTAGTTCCTGAACATGCTGTTGAGGGGCGCCCTCGGGGCCGTCCTTGTGGGGACCCGGGCTAGGTGTGAAATGAGGAGGGGGTGATGCGGATGGAGCTCCGTAGCCGCCGACGCCATACTGAGAAGGATACTGTGTTTGCTGAGGGTACTGGCCCTGGAAGTTCTGGGGCTGGGGAGAGTAGCCGCTATATCCAGGCTGTTGGTATCCTTGGGGTTGACCGTAGGGAGCTGCCAATGAGGGGTCGTATGCCTGCTGGTAGCCACCCTGGTAGTTTGAGGGGACTCCAGCGGGGTAGGCGGCGTTGGAAGGTGATGAGGGTACGAAGCTGGGCCCTGGGCTCTGGGGTCCTTGGGCCATGGGAGGTTGGTTTTGTGTACCATCGCCGGGTGTAGCAGCGGCAGCAGCAGTAGCAGGAGTTGTCTTGTTGCGGCGGCGGAACAGAAGAAAACCAGCGAGGCCAACGAGGGCGAGAGCAGCGACACCACCGACAACACCACCAGCAATGGCGCCAACGTTGGTACTGCTGCCGCCACCGCCGTTATCAGCACTTGTGGAGGTTGCCGCAGCGCTGGTCGTTGTGGACGATCCATCGTCGGTGGTCGTAGAGGGGTTGCCAGTAGTGGACGAATCGTCGCCCGAGGTCGAAGATAGAGCTAAAGGGTCAGACAAAAGCAGGACAGAGGTGCCGTTGCCGGCAGAGCAGTCGAATAATGTGAACTCGTCGACACCTGTGGTCGCAACCCACTCAAAGCAATTGGGACGATCGCGCTGGCCACTAATATCAAGTCAGTAACAAATCAATCGACACTCCTTTTCTTGATCAAATAACAGGCACGTACCAGCAGAGAGTATGAAGATCTGAAAAGGATGTGCATTCGTCACGAGATCGCGAGTAGGGGATGCAAGTTGTCTTGACCGAGTTGCAAGATCTCGCAGTATCACAGCAGCCAACATAACCATCGGACAAGGTGCAGGTGGCGGATAAGGTGTTCGTGCAAGTAAAGGAGTCTATTGCAGGTCATGTTAGTTTCAACACTTGGAGATCGAGCCCTTTGGTCTTGTCTGTCCAGGGCCATGTCTGCGGCTTCGCTGAGAAGCACGCCTAGGTATCGACTCACTTCCAACTGTATCGTAGCCACAAGTATTGTCTGACTCGGCTCGTTTGCCCAAGGCAAAGCCCATGTCCATGGCACCGGCGAGTTTGGGGGCACCTGTTGGTACTGGTGACCATCCCATGGCGACCTGGCCCAGCTCAGCTTCCTCCCCAAATACTCCGGTCTGTCGAGGAGGTTCCCATGATCTCTCCTGGTTCGACTTCAACCAAGCGGCCGTGGCGGTTGAGCTGAGTGCTCCTAGAGCAAAGAGAGTAGTAGAGCGATGCATCGTAGTCTAGTGCTGTTGTACTTCGATTCGACAAAGATGGGGGTATTCGATCGCTATTCTGATGGTTGAGAAATTCGGTTTATCTTTCGACGTCTTTCATGCGACTGCCTGGTTTCTGCTGGCCAAGGGGCGAGAGGAGTTTCGCCTCGCAGCTACGGTATATGTTGCGGTGTAAGTGAGTTCGTGCCCCACGATGTGAAGCTATTCAAGCGTGTTGGAGCAGTAACCGACTTCGCAGCACAGCAACGATATGTGTTTGACAAAGAGGAAAAGTGCAGTAAGGCAGGGGTCAATGGGGGTTTTGTCTGTTGTCCGCCTGTACTATTTGGGGCCAAAAGGTGCAATTCGGCCCCGGCGAAGACTTGCAGGCCATCGACATGCTGTCCGTCTGTGAGGTACATTGGGCGCACCGTCCAAGTACATCCAGCATGTGGTGTCGGGGGTACTGCAACAGGGGTGAGCCTTGATGGGACTAGGTAGACGAGATCAATGGCCACAGCCCCAGGGACTTCTCTGTCTTTCTGAGTGCACCAAAACCACAGCCCCCTGCTCATTCAGTCATTCTAGTGAGATCCCTGCGCCTAGTGGCGTTGCTGGTAGGCGATCATTGGCGCGAGGGATCTTTAGCGCATCGAGCTGAACCGACCCCTGTTCGAATTCAAAAGCTTGAGGTTGCAACTTACAAGGGTGTGAGCATCTGTTCAGCCTTTTGAAACTCCGCCCCAGCCCAGCTCAAGAAACAACCCGACTTTCAAGAGGCTCAGTCTCTCAACAGATCAGGCTGATGTAACTCCGACATCGGCCAGCAGTAAGTATTGACATAATAGACCTGAGGTAGTCGCTGACTACTATTGTGGCTATCACGTGGATATTCAAGTGGTTGAAGCATCCATTGTAAGAAATCAAGTTGGTTACCTAATCCCGTGTTTCTCATGAACTCATAACAGGTTCCATTTCCGACCTCAGCAGCTGCACCCACAGCCGTCACAGTTGCCCCAAGCACAGTCGGCTTCACCAGCAAAGGCCTTCTTGCAGTCGTTATCAGAGTGACAAGAGACCCAGTTACCATCACCCCATCCATAGTTCCATTTGGCCCAGCACCATGGGCCACTGTTGGCGATATTTCCGTTCCCGCTGCCGCCGCACTTCTTCCAGCACCATCCTTTACTATCACAGCCGTATTCCTTCTTTCCGTTATAGCACTTTCGCTTCTCCAGTAGGTGGTTTTCGTTGCGGCTGGTGAGCTCAGATGCTGCTTCTGGGCTGGATGCCAATGGCACAGTAAGCCACGAGGCTTGCGAAGGTGGTACTGATTTTCATATTGAAGAGATTTGCTTGGTGTTTGAGAGTAGCAGGATATGAGATGAGATGAGAAGAGTAGAGTAGAGATGGTTGAGGGAGTGATGTGTTGAGGATGATGGACATCTTTCACCCGAGAATCATCTCTCCTTTATACTTGTTCTTACCTCTTGACTTACACGCAGGCTAATTCTGGTGCAGGGATAAATACGGTTATTTCTAAACAAGAGTCTCGTGAACGTTGAAGACGGACCAACAGCATGATGCTTCTAAGAAAGAGGATAGCTGAAGAGAGAAACACAGACCTTCTACCAGGTTGTTGAAGATAGAGCCAACAACATCAGGCGACTGAATACTCGAAGAGGTTAAGTCAGTGAACTTCTGCGCGTTTACGAGGCAGCTCCAGATGTGATAACAGAACCAACAGCATTATACTATTACGAAAAGAGGTGGTTATGGATCGTTCTGCTGGGGTGCTGAAGGCAGGGACGACACACGAGCGGATCTGAGCCTGGATATGGAGTAGGTGGATGGAGCAGAAAGCGAATACTCGTCGTACAGCACCTCAATATTGAGGACAGAACCAACAACATTACCAGGTTGTTGAAGGCATGACTAACACTTTGGTGGATCCAATACTAGCCAGGCAGATTGTTCGAAGCAGAGGCGAAAGACTCACCGTATACGTTGACCGGTCAAGTTTTGTAAGAGTTCAGTGTATGATACTGTGAGAGATTTGGTCCATATTTCTATAAACAACGATAATAAAACAAAAGCTTATGTAAAGACATGTATAGAATATGCTGCAAGTCCCTAGTGTCAAGTCACGTATTTATTTCTCAGTCTGCATCAAGTCTTTAGCAGCGCAAGGTAAAGTGGTTTGATGGTCAGCTTAGCGCTAGATCGGTCTCGATTCGCTTCTGTAAGTCACGCTCAGTCACAACTGGACTATTTCGACCAGGGTTGATGTATGCAGAGGGATCCTGATGAGTTGACCATGGAGCAGATCCAACAGCAATATCTTTCAATTCAAACCCAAGTCCGCCGAGTTCCGAAGCTCAAGCCGGAGCTGTATGCATTCAGTAGGAAGCATTCGATAAATTAATCCTTAGTAGGATGGTTGGGTGAGGATGAGTGAGGTTTAGAGTCTACAACAGTTCCTGTATACATACAATGAACGTTGCACAGAACTATCTTCTGATTGTCACCTCGTCTAAGTTTCTCTATCCAGCTATGCCCTCGCGTTGTATTGTTCAAGTTGGCTCCGCCTCAAGCATGTGGCCGCTGTGCTCTCGGGCTCGCCTCACAGTTGCATAAGGGCATATTGTATGCACTTGCAGGAGACTGGTCGGTTGTGGTCAAGGGTCCGTCCGCTCTGGGCCATGGTTAACCAACGTAGGTATGTATCTGTATCTCAATTCAATTGACGTCGTCTCCATGAAGATCGTCAGGCCAAGAATTTTGTGTTCAAGTGTAAGCCACCTCCGCAACCGCAGTCATGAATGATTTTGTGCCGACGATGCCGTTCCCCTGTAATAATCAGAGATAGAAACAATCAGACCAGAGACTAACATCGACTTTTCCCCATATGAGTGATAGTTGAGAAAAGTACCTGCGTTGAACGACAGAGGTACCTTGAGAACCCAGCTAGCAGCAACAGGGCAGCGGCTTACAGCACACTAAGTATCAAGCGTTTGCCTCTAGCCATTCATTGGCTGGCCGAGTTAGACGTGGTCTCCCGTGATTTCCGTTGATTTGCCTGGCTTTTGACGCAAATTGCCGAAATGGGGTATGTGAGTATACCCGCCTCGCTCGTGAGTGGTCCTCGCACAGGTGGCCCAGAATAGCATGTCGCTCCCCGATACCACAGCACCAAGGGCGTTGAGTTAAGCTTGATAGATGGAGCCAGAGGTTGGCTGTGCCGAGCTTAATCACAGCGTATGGCCCAGGCACTCTAGGTACTGTCTTCTCTGTGCTTCCAACTCAACAGACAGTGTCCATCCGAGACGTTCCCCGAGGTGGCATTCAATTCACCGCCAAGAGTGGTTGGAGCGACCCGTGCCGAACAGTGTGGGCTTCTGAGACCCTGCTGCATGGGTTGGCCATGGATAATCAGCCTCTCGGTGAGTGGCAGATTGCTCAAGTCCCAAAAGCAATGGCCATAAACACCCAATTCCGCTTGGTCTCCATAGATGGGCAGTCACTAAAATCTGACGCTGGACTACAGCGCCGGGTCTCATTTCAGCCGATTTATGTAGTACATATGGCTGCGTGCTCCGTGCTCCGTGCTCCTTTCTCCCCGTCGACTCATTGTAGGGCGTGGATGCCAACACAACAGGGGGAAATCTTTGGTAGCTTATAGGAACAGTGAAGTAACTAACCCTTTGAGGGCGTTATCGACTTGACGACTAGCCTTGCACAGCATAGCGTGCAGGGCTTGGAAAACGGCGATGCAGAGCTAGGATTTGCTAATCTTGTGAGACGATATTTGAATGAGGGTAAGATTGACAGTCTGAACGAGGAAATCTTTGTCCGGGCGGAACCTATTCCCTCCCAATGTTACCTCGCGGAATTAGCCATGCTATTGGGAACAATGAACTGTCGCATCACAAACCGCCAAAGGGTGTTTGCTATGCATCATGAATTCATCATGGGCTACAAATAGAACGTTAATTGATAGCCACGGCCTAGAACACGTTAGCCACTCTTCGGTATTCATCTCCTCGTTCTCTAGTTGGCTGCTGTATCTCAGCCTTGAATTTCTTGGCTTACCACGAAACATAGCCACGGAAAGATTATACGAAGCTAATTTCAGGCTAGTGCACAGATTGCACACCTTTGAAGCAGCCAGAGAACGCCCTGCAAATAGTTTGTCAACAGCAAAGTCAGCTAACTCATACTCAAAAGTCAATACTATAACGGCACTATCGAAACTTACTGGCAAAGCGCCGTAAGCTGAGTTGTAAAACATCTTCTTTCACACCGACAGCTCCATGCTCTGTCATGTATTGTTTCCACGGAGTCTCCGCATGACAAAACGAGAACGTATCGATAGCGAAGTTAAGACGAAGGAAGACCCTTATCGACCTGGCTTTGCCTTGTGGAGTGAGAGGTTGGTTCGATGGAGATGACCCAGAGAATTATAGCCGAAACGGCAACTATACGGTGACCCCCTGTCGAAGGATCTGGGTGCTTACCAATGTTGTTCCAACACCAACACCCGAGAGAAACTCCACGGAACAGCGAGATTTCAAAGCTTCAAGATGAGACCGACCTGCGAAACACGGATCAAAAACGGCCCCAGCTTTGTAACAGGAATATATTGTGAAAGTGACAGAGATAAGGCCTGATTGGCTAATTCTCATGCAGAAACTAGCCGTTCAGGATCATGTTTTTCAAGGGACATGCCGTCTCATGACATTTGCTTAGAAGTGTAATATTCGCCATGGAGCTGGACAGTATAAGGAAACAAGTGTTTCTCCCTCTATCAGCATAATCATCACCATCAGCCGAGCAAGCCAGCAAGCAAAAGATCGAAGTTCTCAAACACCACCACACAACAACCAACATAGGTAGTTGACAGTCAACAAAACACTCTCCCCAATATGTTTTCTGAAGCCAAACCACTCCCTCCCGTCAAGAGATTCATCACCACCCATGACTCTAACGGGAACGCCATCTGGGATGAGACTATCCCCATTCAAGTTGAGGGGAACCGCAGCGGTGGCTTCACGACTCACGTCTCATATGTGAACGAGGATGGCACCAACACTCTGACAGGTGACAATGACCTCAAGTCATACAGAGAAAATCCCACCGAGAAGGACATTGCTCCAGCTTCTGGCTCTGCCCTTAGAGTTGTCGACTTCTGGCCTGGCTTCCCCGCTATCATGCATCGGACTGCCAGTGTCGACTATGGCATAATCGTTGAGGGCCAGATTGACTGTATCCTCGACAATGGGGCCACCAAGACCTTCCGCAGAGGCGACATTATCATCCAGAGGGGAACCAATCACGCCTGGAAGAACACTGGAACTGAAGTTTGTCGCATCTGCTTCACCCTTTTACCTTCGCCCCCCGTCAAGATCCGAGGCGACGAGCTCGAGGTACACGGCTTCGCTGATTTTCCGTGACTCGCAGAACAATCGACCCTCTGAGCCGGTAAACATCACAGTATGAGGGAGGCAAAGCAAGTACATTAATAATGATTGATCATGTCACACTATTGTACAAACCATCGCCTGCCCCTGCGAATGCAATTCGACTTTTGTTCTCGGTCACCCATTCTACAATTTGAACCCCGTGCCATCTTCTTCGATTCTGTGACCAAGCTCCTACCACCCTTTAGTGATGCTTTGTAATTCCGTCAGGAAAGCGAAGCACAGCGGTTGGCGTAGGTCCTTCTTGATACGCTCGAATCGGCTTTCGTCGTGCTTGGTGATAAGTCCATGTCTTACCATAAAATCCAGCATCACCAGTCCGCAGTTAGGCTTCCATCGATTGCTGCTCAGGCTTTCCGTCACTTCAGGTACTCCCATGGGCTCAAATCTCTCGATTGCGCTCTCCATCTTCTTCGGTCGAAAGCTTGGGTCGGTGATCTTGAGATCGTAGACGAATCGCAGGCCGGGCTCGAGGTGCTTGTTGTAGAAGTCACCCGCACTCTCGTCTTTGAGGTCGAAGAACGTAATGGACGAGGCCCTCTCTACGGTCCCAACGTGGATACGCATCTGATTGTCCCCATCACCGCCCCCCATTTCCTCAAAGAATACTTGTCGTGTCTGGTGGTCTATGGTCAACCCAGCCTCCTCTCTTGCCTCCCGTTCCAGCGTCTTGCAAGGAGCTAGCTGTCCATCTATCGTGTCGTTGGTATCTGCGCCTCCAGCTACGATCTGATCTAGCATCCCAGGATAGCTGTAGTTGGGGTCTTTGGAGCGATGTGAGACCCAAATTTGATCAATAATTTCCTTGCCATCTTCCTCCTTTACTCTGTAGACATTAAGATGAACGCCCACCGTTAAGACCCCCAGGACTCCTCGTAATGGCAAAGGAATGCGCAAGGGCAAGACGTTGACTCCTGGATCAGCTAGGTGAATCGGGCAATACTCCTGATCTGCTTCCTCTGTCACCTTCCACAGACTGAAGGCGGGGAACATATCTGCGTTGGCGGCTAAGAGCTTTTGAAATGCGATCTTGCAAGCTTCTGCAGGAGAGGGAACGTGAGAAATCCCGTCTACAGCAAGGTAGTTGTTACTCCTTACGATGGTAATTCTCCGAACTTCGTCGCCTTTCTTATTAACCGTTTCACAACGAAACCATTTAGCGTCCCACTGGATCTTCATGCAGTCTTCCTCCCGGACATAACCCACAACTTCGTCGATACCTTCGATGAACAACTTCCACAGGCTTGCATGCTCATCGAGAAGGCTGGCTTTGTTGGCCCTCTCGATGACTCCGTACAGACTACTCATGGCAGGTATCGAAGTATGAGTATTGGTATGATGCTGATAAATGTGTTTGCAACTTAAAGGTGGTGGTTCAAGTCGCGTCGAGGCTGTAACCAGAAATGGTGTTGGATGTGCAAACTTTGTTGAAGCCATGGCGAAGACGTTGAAAAAGAGCTTGTAAGGAAAGGTAAGTTTGCAACGTTGGGAAAGAAGGCTCCGGTGAATGCAAACAGCCGTTCCATGAGGTCAGTGAAGGAAGGATCGTTGTTGAAAACCCCCCAAGGCCTTGCAGTGAAAAAGTCCGTTTGCGCTTGCATGGATTTGATGGATGAATATAGATACCCATGAAATAAGGTAAGGTAAGGTACTGCCTGTCTGCCACCTGCAATTGGGTCTCCAGTCTGGTCCGTGAACCGCAGCCTCGGGTGGCCACTGCCTTCTTGCCAGCAACTGGATGAACAAATATTCGTGATGCGGGTAGGATTGGCAGTAGCAGCTACTTGTCTGCGAGGTGTCGGCACGTAATATCCCCTTAATACTTGTGGTTCACAGTTCTGAGAAGGAACTCAGGTAACCCTCCCCTTGCAGCCAGACGAGCTTTCCGAGTCATGAGGACGACTGTGTTTATTTTGGTGCAACAGGCGGCTTGTGTTATATGGATTGGATGTGAGCGCGTGCGTGAGTAATTGTGATAGTGGTTTGTGACTGTCTGTGATTGAGGGGTTGTTCCCTGCGTTTTTGTTAGTGTATCTCGATGAAAGTGCAGTTGCTGATCGGTTCAGGGTTTCAGGGTACCTACCTTACCTAGGTATGTACTGTTGTCTAGGACATACATGCGGAGTACACATGCATTTATTCGCACTTCTTGGTACACCCAAGTGAGAGCTTGCGCGAATTAGAAGGCATCCAGCTGACTATGTACCCGGATAAATTGAGCATGTACGGATAGTTGGAACTAACCTACTAATTGAGAGGTCCTGAGAGGTCCATTCAATAGTCTCACTTTTGTTGCCCGTACCTTACCTTATCTCAAACTCGATAGGTGGTCTAGTAGCGGGCGGGAACAGGAGCCGGACACCCGCCCGCTCGCCCGCAGAACAGGGGCTTGACGGCGCTGAGCCATAGCCGACCGAACTCGAATTCGAGATGAGGATTAGACTGGATAGTGCAATACAATACAATGTTTTCCATCCTGATCAATTTTTTATTGTTCTTTGGCTATTGTATCTTACTCAGCTTATTGCCGTAAGTCAACGATTGTGTCTTCTGATTCTTCTGTACACCCTTGCCCCAGCTCTTGGTTCAGTACCATTGACCAGTCCTCCGGTTCCATCTCATACCAGTAGAGTGGTCCTCACTGGGGTTCTGTGCCTGTGTGACACTACATACGAAATCAATTGTGTAGAGTGAAATGAAATGATGTGATGTGATGTGAAGCAAGTAGAGCATTGATGAATGCTGTCCGTCCTTATGCGCCTGTGATCCTGTGCCTGTTGCCCGTGTCATACCCATATCCATTCCCAACACTATATTTGCGGAATTTCGTTTCGTCGTTTCAATTTCCCTCATGATCTTACATAAATAAACGCCCTAAATATCGATGTCGTAGCAAAAGCCACCGTCGAGGTGGTCTATGGGGGAGGTCTTAATGAGCCGCAGTGTGACGGGCTACTCCAGGTCCCGGATATGCTGCAGCCTTTGCGATAGAGTGATCGTAGAGCCTTGCACCAGCTGAAGCTGCAGCTGCGGCTGCGGCAGCCGCAGTCGTAGTATCCTCGAGAGCATGTTGTGCGAGTACCGGTGTAGATAGTGTCGCCGTCGCGGTACATAGGTTACATAGCTCCATCTGAGGCTCAGGGGTAAGGCAGTAGAACGGGCTCGAGCATTTACGAGCGCAGCGGGTGAAGTCGATAACCGTCTCACCAAGGCTATGGCGGCAATCCTTGCACATCCGCTGGGCGATTACGGTATGGCACATGGTGATGAGATGTGGTTGTACAGTGGAAGAATATGTAGTATGTAGGGAGAAGTATGCAGTAGTATGTGGTAAAGGTATGTAGGCACGATGTATTTGTTGTAGTATGTAAGGATGGATGGAAGGGAGGGAGGGATGATATGTAAAAGCGTTGGGATGTGGAGGCCAAGGTGCAGATGAAGAAGGTTGTTGATAGATAGCCGTGAAGCTTAATGTAAAGAATAAATTTCGAAACGGCCAAAAGCTTGGTTATCTAGCTGTAACACAGATATGGTGAGGCCTCGTTGTGTATCGACAACGTAAGCACGCAGAGGCGCAGCTGCGAATGTTGTTTATATTGTTGAAGGAGGGTTGGACGTATCTCAGGCATAGGTAGAGAAGGTGTGTCGACGAAGATTGTTTTTATCCAACCAAACAAGCAGAGAAGCAGGGCAGGCAGGATTCCAGGGGGCTCTAGGACCCTTTTTAACCTTTCGTAAATCTTCCGTAAGATCGAACTAGAAGTCTCGGGGTGTAAGTACCAAGAGTGACAGTTGCATGACGCACGTAGGCAAGGTAGTAGTTGTTGGGATAATAGAGTTAGGCTTTGGTCAGAAAAGGGAGAGGGAAACATCCAGATAACCCGATGGCCGAGTACAGTACAGTATGTATGTGTTGTGTGAATGAATTAGAGAGACAGCAAGGGGAGACAAATCGGAGGGAGTATGTGTGTGACCACAGAACGCCATCATATGACTATTCATCTCCTCAAAGGGAATACTCGGAACAGAATTGGGGGACGTACAAACCACTTACTATCGACAGACAAGGAAGGCAGTTGGAGGATGAAAGGGTGTGTGTTGAAGCGCCAGCGCCAGCTCAGCATTAATCGTCTGGCCTCAAGAAATTGTCAGCCCAGAGGTCGTGAATTGGTAGGTTGAAAGGTCTCATTCAGAGCCCAGACTTTTTTGTTTTTCTGAAAGCGTGTGCCGTGTGCCTTCTCCTGCCAACAACCAAGAGGGATCGATGCATCCGTGACCAGCAAAAAGAGCTTTCCCCGCATTGTACCATCTGCGAACATCCAAAGGCAAATAGAGCCTTGACTAATAAGTTGCAAGGGACGATACGGAGGTTACCTTGGCTCTGAAGCTACTGCAAGGATATGCAATCACAATGAGGCACTTTATTGCAACTATGTCCCCCCATCAGCGGGTATTCTCGCCTTTCTGACAAGAAGCAAAAAGGGCACGGTTTTGTCTGCAGCTTTGGATAGGACGACACGCGTCTCGGCTTGTCTTGTCTTGACTCCATTCCTGGGGGGGTTTTTTCGCGGGGAATGTCTCTGATAGGTATGGCCAAGTATGATCCATTGTAACTAAACTTGGCGCGCACCCCAAGCTTGGCATTCTAGATGGGCTTTTGCCTCTTACACGCATAACCAGCCAGGCAGCCCAATGTACCTTTTTTTCCCTTCTATCACATGGCATTTCATGATCCTTATCACGAACAACCTGACTAGGGAGCTTGTATCACTATTTTCACGTCATGCCTCATCATGGCATCGTGAGTAATATTGTGCGTCTCGTGTCGTCAAAAACGATACCTGATAAAGGGCGCCCTATAATTTGCTGCGAGATGTTTGCCCCCTTGCTGCCTGTCAAACACACGGGATGATGTAGAATCTACGTGAGACAGGGGGGAATCGTCCGCCTGCAGGTTTGTACATACGGTACCTGTGAAAATCAACATCCAACAAACGACCTGCATTTTCTATTTCTTCCATCGATTTCGTTCCAGCGTAAATCACCGGCCCAATACCTCCGCCCATCATGCAATAACAATCTCGATCAGGTTTCACAAAGGAACATGGCTCTCAGTCTCAGCTGATGCATTTGCCTGATGCCCACTTAATCAAGATCTTGAATATCAGCCAGTATTCGTCTTCAGAGACCACGTCTTCCGTCATCAGGAAAGGCATTAACTTTGTCAAGTCTTATCATTACGACGGTCACTCGGAACCATGACTTGGTCCTGCATGGAGCCAAAGCACTGGGGTGTCATCTTGATCGAGGCGCCGCATATGCATTGCACCTCTTCCGTCATATTCTAGACCAGCCATCTTCATTGACTTCTATCCCAATTGGTCTCCCCGGATACTGCTGAGTGGTCCTCTGAGCTTGCTATGGACGAGTTGGATGAGCCAGAATCTCCATCACAACCGCTAGGGATTTTGAAGAACGTTCATGACCGCTTCGCTGGCTCCATTCAATCCATTGACAGACAGCTCAGGGTGTCCTCAAATTGACCTGACGGAGGTAACCCGTGAGAGGCTTCACAACGGCAGTTGTTGTTTGGTGTGTTGGTGAGCTCTTCACTGAGGTTGGTTCCTATAAGTTTGTCGTCAGAGTTGCCAGCGTGAAACTTTCTAATCCCATAATCAGAACCACGGCAGCGCCATGCCGGAAATTTTCACTTGAAAGGCTAGAAGGGCTTCATGTTGTCACTGTCTACTGGTTAGAGAACGCCAGAAGAGGCGCGATACACAATTTAGGGCTAGTCATGTCGATCTTGCTAAACCTTGTGGTAGCCTCAGCCACTTCTGATGAACAGGTTTTGGATTTATCCTCCCAAGCTTTTAATCATAGCTGGGTTGATCAATTCTCTTGTGATGATGTTTGTGGTACCAGAGAAAGTAATCTAGGCTCATGTTGCTGCGTTCCACTTTAGGAGTCTCGGGAGTTTAAAAGGCTAGATCTTAGCCATTCAACCCCAGGACGAGCAGAGCTGACTATATGATCTTACTGAGGTATGGCCTGTAGCTTTAGGTAGCAGAAAATGACGTTAAGGTTAACACTTTAGAATCTGAAGTTATTGGTTGATTAATTTTCTGCTCATCGCGTCTAAGGCAGAGGTGGAACAAATGCTCGAACGACCTGATAATTGTGTGCCAACCGCTTGAGTACAAAGTGGTACAATAAGTTTCGAGTAAGGTCGCTGAGTCTCCAACAGCTGAGGGGATATGATCAGGAAATTATCACTAATAATGAGGTGATTGACGCGTATCAAAAAATGCTGTGTTGGTTTACATGAAATTGATATTGCTCCCGGGTAGGTGATGCTCAAGTAAAATTGTGGCGCAAAGAGGATCTAGCTCTTGTCGCTTACAATCATGGGATGGATGAGGCATACTATATCCTGGATTTATAATTTATATATCGTTTATTGCTACAGGGGTGTGAGGGTTAGTAAATTCTTAACATGTTAATATTTTTATGCGCGCTCTATGGTCTTTCAGTGATTTTAAGAACGTGAAGAATCCATCATGCCGTCCACTGAGGCCCGATAGCTACATATCTGACAGCACCCGAAGACCAACGTTCATGTCATTGCGGACTGAGTATAAGTTCATGAGAAAACATAGGAAGCCACAGGAGAGAGAACAGCATGCTCGCGGCAATACTTAAAAAAAAATAACGACTTTTCTTCATATACATGTGCAAGCCGCAGGAAGCAAGACTTCCAACATTAAATCAAGATGCCGAGATAAACCGACATAAGGGCTTGCTGAGATATGTCAAATCACAAAAGTCTCTTCATCACTTAGAAAAGAGGTCACAAGTTTTCCTGCCTCTCTTTGGCAAAGTTCTATTGATTCTACTATGTAACCCCATGCCATGCTCGCCGTGGAGTAGCCAATGGTAAACACCTATAATCCAATTGGCCAACCACTTAAATTGCCTTACGTAAACATCTCGGACCGGCGACAACCTCACTTGTTGATCTTGGTGCGGCTTCTTCCCACGAGAGCCTCACAATCAATCGCTCAATTGAACGCTGCCCAATCCGCCCAACATGTTCGTCGCACGACAGAGGGTAGCAGGCGTGGCTCGTCAGCTGCAAAGGACGGCGCGAACCTACGCCTCCGACGCCCATGCCCATCACAAAGCCCCAGAAGTCAACGAGTCGTTCAGCGTATGTCAAGTCACACTAGCTTGCACCACGCAGCTCACGCCGACACCAACGCAATCGGATGACTTCAATTGAAAATAATATACTGATTATGATCCCTAGACCGGTTCTCTCCTCGCTGTTGGCGGTTTCTTCGGCTCCGTTCTCGTCTACCAATTCGTTCCGCAGGAGGGCGAGCAGTCCTCAATCCTCAGCCTCATCGACAAGTACACTTCCCGTGGAAAGGACTGGGAGGATATCAATGCGCTTCACACAAAGGCCATGGAGCAGGCTGGTTACGACCGAAACCTCTTCGAGAATGGCGGCAACAAGCACCGATTTGTTGATGTTGCCTATCCCGAGTTCGTCTACCTGATACTACTTGCTGTTAATTGACGGAGGCTGCCACCTTCTCTTCAGTGACGGAAAGTAGCTGCTGCAAGAACCATTGCTAATCAGAGAAACAGGGCAATGACTTCGTATGCTCCCCGAAACAATGTCGCTGGCCACCTGGCCAACATGGACTACGTCGTTGAGCACTACCGACAAAAGCATATCCAGGAGGAGGAGCGGAAAGCTGCCAAACTGGCACAGAAGGAGGAATAGTGTTATAAACTAGCCATGAATCAGACATACCTATGAATTCATTTTTCTATTGAGTTATTCAACACAGTTACCTCCTCAATTTGACCCTACATATCGAAGCAAGTTCGCCCCTTGTGCTCTTCAAACGGCCTCCCGCTCCTTCTCGATACCCATTGTCAACACCATTGCCTCAAAGCACTTGCTCTCTGGTGGCGATTAGGTCTTTCCAAATACTCACCTAACGTTAGCTTGTGCTTTGCATTACTCACCTCTAACCACCCATCCCGCGAAGTCGAGTTTCGCTTTGACATCTCCCAAACAGGTACTTTCAACAATAATTTATCAACAGCAGCCATCATCATCCGTTTGAACCCAAACAGTCTTTTTCTAGCTCGGAGTTTATCTCAATAGGAAACTACCTATAGCAACATGACGGCTAACCAGAGCGGTCGGAGCAGTGGTAAGAACAAAACAAACAACCTGTGATAAGATGCTCATACAATCTAACTCCCAAAGACATGAACACTGCAGATTCATCATCAAACTGGAGGGTAGAAGGACGGACTAGACACATCGAAATTCGCCACCGTACAGAAGTCAGAGGCAAAAACTGGAGTTTTTGCCCGTCGTGGCCTTGCTCGTGGCCAGCAGATCACCGGCGCAAACCACTCAATATTTGCTGCTCCCGATAACCCCCAAGACCCTCCTACGGATTTATCTTCCCTGTGCGAAACGCAGAGAGTCAACTGTAACGCGCTGATATCTATATGCCACGACAAGTTCAAACAAGACAACGCCTGCCAGCACCCTACGATAACCACTGGCCTAAGGAGGAGTTTGGCTTCAAACATCAACCATGGTTGCCCAGGCTGTGCGCAGGCAACATTCATACTTGCTGAAACCTACGACATTACGTTGACTCTTGAGAAGAATGTCAGAGCAGGCGAGGAGATATTGGTTGACTTCGGCCAGGACCGATTACGCCTCAGATGTTCACTTTGCCATACCAGGGAATCTACATGGAATTGGCGGAAACGCCAGTTCAAAGGATTTCTCGCAAAACTTGACCCGCACAACATGTTCAAGACCACCGAACGTCTGGGATGATGTCATAAGAACTTGAGGCTTTTCAGTTCAGCAGGTTAGCCAGGTCAGGGTAGGAAGGGTTTGTGGAGCATGGTGTTTTAGAAGCATTATCACAATTATCAAGCATCAGCGGTAGTCGAGGGTAGTCATCAAGCGGACAATGCTCCTTTATTGTACTAATCATGGTACCCATTGTCATCAGTGTTTTTGATAGATGTTTTGCCCATCTACCAGAACCAGTCCTTTTCGCCCAAAATGTCCATGAATGCAGAAACCACCCGAGACCGCAACCTTCTTACTTGAGGGGAATGAACCGAGAAGAGTGCGTGGCACCAATACCGGGCCTACCGTGCTTGACAGGCTTGCTGGGGGGAGGTTAGTCATATTTCCCCTTGTTGGTGGTAGAGGGTAGAAACGTACTATGAGATAGAGAACTCAGCCAGGTAGTGACCAACCATCTCAGGCTTGATCTCGACCTGGTTGAACTCCTTGCCGGAGTAGATACCAATGACACTGCCAATCATCTCGGGGACGACAATCATGTCTCGGAGGTGGGTCTTGACGAGGTCGGGCTTCTCGTTGGGCTGAGCCTCCTGCTTAGCCTTTCGGAGCTTCTTGATGAGACCCATGGGGCGGCGCTTCAGGCCACGGTTGATCCTGCGGCGGGCACGAGCGTGGACAACATCGCGAAGCTGGTCGGAGGAGAGGTCGAGGAGCCTGTGGAGTGGAGAGAAATCAAACATCAGCATGGGTTCCGTTCGCTCGGGGGTGCGACCTCGCAAGTCTTCATCTTCCAGCAATCGAGGCGCAGAAATCGTGTAGTGGCAACATACTGATCAAGGTCGATTCCTCGGTAGGAGAACTTTCGGAAGGCTCTCTTTCTCTTGAGCTCGGCAGCCTGCTCGGCGTCCTGTTATCCGGAACACAAGTCAGTCAAGCTCTTTTTTGTATTCTCTCCATCTCTCCACTATCGTTCATCATCGTCGTTGGTAGCGAGCGGGAGTCGAGGGTGCCATGTTGGCGGCGGGTGTATGTTTTCTATTTCCAGAGGGGAAGGGATATATCGAGAGCACACGTACGTATTCGTCAGCCATGATCGCGGTGTTGTGTTGTTGAATTCGCTGAGCGGAAAACTGATGGCCTGGCTGGGGTCGATTTGAAGGCGGTTGTTGCAACAATCGCTTAGGCGCACAGGGAAAGAGCGATGTAGGGTTTTTGCCCTTCACCCCCTCATCACGTGATCATTTTCAAACCTGTCCGTGATTGTGGAAAACTAGGGCCGGTACGTACCCTACCTAGCTCTGGCGACGGAAGAAATGAGCGCCGCGATTCCGATATTTCATGGGGATGCGAAGCTCTTTTATCGTCTCATGAATTAGTTGGTCCTAACCTCATAGAAACACCATGTCTCGAGTCTACTCACATCGATAGCTTCTAGATCACTGTTAGTGAAGACATTCGATTGGAATGTTATCGATATTGATAGTACGATGGTCCATCGCAACAACAACATTTATACGAAATAGTGTAATGGGCATCACATTCAGATACTGTACAATGCCATGAAAGGATGGCGTAGACCCGACGAGACCGGTAGTTATCTTGAATAGGTTACTCTTTCAACTCCCGGCGAGCTTGTTGAGTTGGCACTTGATCTTCAATCATCTAGCCGTATAAGTGGTTGCCCTGGCTGGCTGGCATGTGCTACTGTAACCTTATTGGCAGTCTGCTTTCACCAGCCATGATCTCTCGGCAGCCAACCGAGCTTCTGAGCAACTCTATTCCCTTTTCCCTCTACAAATCGTCTGAGAATAGACGCTGATTGGGATAAAGAAGCGAACAGATCCAGCCAAGACTCGCGGCTCGCCTTCTTCAGCGCATCTTATGATTATTGATTCCTTGTCATCTTTTCGTGTGGTTTCGTCCTACATTGGCGGTGCAACGCCAAGAGTATCAAGTTTACTGGGCGTTGTGCTTTGACAGTCAATTGACATGCATTTGCTTAAACAAGTCAAGTCGGTTTCTCTTCAGCAACGGAAATGTAAAAGTGAGTTGAGGTAATAGAACGGTGAGTTGATCTCATGACTGATAATTGTGGCCAAGACGGAATTTTCTGCCTTTTTATCTAGGGAGTGGGATTGGTTGCTCATGGCCGCGGCTTGGTGTGCATGTTCCAAGACTTCCAAGCCGGCGTATTCGGCACAAACCAAGGCGGCCTTCATTTCCCGCGTCAGAGACTCTCAATTCGATACTCATCAGCCAAGACCGTGGGTGGCACTGGGGCCAAAAGGCTCGGCTTAGGCTGGACGAGCCCACTATGATGAGCATTGGCCCTCGTAAGCTACTGGGCATGGCCATGGTCATTGGGCCCCTCCCACAACGCTTCCGCAGTAACCTGTGATGGCTTGCGCGTGTCTTATGATGGAGGCTTGACGATGACATTCAGTATAAACCTATACCTTATTTGAACGACTATCCGTGACGACCATGGGCTGTAGCCAGGGAGAAGCTCACCTCACCTGGAGCTAGGTACAATACTACTGCTACGACTATGACAATGAGGACAATGCGGCATTGCCCAGAACTCACAGCGGTCAACGTGGACGTGTTTCGGTGCAATCCAGGCCTTGGCGTTTCTCGGCACCCACCCGTGATAAGATTTCGCCAAGCCTTCAAAGGCCTCAGAAGGGGAACACCAACGCTACCGCACCCGTCTTCGCTGCTGTTACTGTTGCTGCTGCTGCTCGGCAGGCATGCTATGGACTTGTCTGGCTGTTTGCTTTGCTTTGCTTGGCTGGTTCTTGTCGTTTCTTGGGTACGAACCTTTCCTTTCCTTTCACTCATTTGTCACCATTTCTTGTCTTTCCCGTCTGTGTTATATATCTATCCCCATCGGTTCGTTCCTCTGCAATACCTACGCCCGGATGGCCTTCGACATTGCCAGAGACGCTGTCCTCGATATTCTTCACGCGCTTCTTCTTGTCTGCAGCTGAGATATAGCCAAGTCTGCCCGAAACCCCACACTACAGATTGTCTGCCCAGCGAATCTTTCCTTTCACGCGCCCTTTTGTCCAACGAGAACGCAAACTATTGGTCGCATTGCCGGATGGACAAGAGTGACGATCGTCATTGATACGCCGAGTTGACGGCAAGCAGAGCACTCGTGGTGCGGCTTGTAGTCGAATCGGCCTGGCATATAAGCTTAGAGTTGTTTGCAATTACTGCAATTCCTTGCAGTCACCAAAGCCATGTCTTCTTCGATCGAGGATGATGAGTCCGCATCTGGGTTATCGTCACTAGCTTCCGCCGAGCCATCATCAACCATCTCCCTATCCGACCCAACGCCTGCTCCAACAACACTTGTAATCGCACCTAAGCCTACCAATGAAGACGACCTAGACGATGACGGGATATTCCCACCGATGACCACACCTTGGACCGGACCTGTTGATTGCACATGGACTTATGATGCAAACAAGGTACCAAAGTCAGGTTCTGACGGTCTCGCAGCAATGCTTGACTTGCAGCCAATTGCTGGAGCGAAGTCGTTGTCTTGCTATCCCGATGCCATGTTTGATAAAGGGCTTACAGGGGTTTACAGTCCAGGCACATGCCCTCATGGATGGACCACCGTATCACTGCGCGTTGATACTAGTGAGAATCGGGACGACGAGACAACGACAGCTATTTGCTGCTCATCGTAAGTCATGAGAGAAAAGTGTTTAGATGTGCCATTCTAATTGCAGTAGGGAATACACTCTGGATGGCAATTTGTGTAAACGTTCGGTTTCATCCGTGTTGGCTGTTCCTTACACATACAACCAGACAGCTCAGACTTATGATGCTGTGTCAGACACACCGACGACTTTGTATGGTGCAACAATTGCTGTTTATACCATAAGAGCCCTGTTCAAAGATAGCGACAAAGATGCACTTGGACTCAAGGATGAGGACGATATCCCAGGTACTGAGCATCATGGCCGATCCTTGTCCCTGGGCGCTCGCATCGGTATTGGTGTTGGTGTCGCGGTTTTTGTTCTGCTTGCGATAGGAGCACTTGCCTTTTGGCTCATTCGAAGAGAGCGAAAGAAGACGGAAAAGAGACGAGCACACGAGCTCGGTGCGGTCGGAAGCATGCGTCACACCTCGCCAGGACCAGGAGACAACTTCTACGCGGCTGCGGACGCCAACCGTCGACGTGATAGGAGTCGCCAGACCACAGAGCCACCACCAGCTTACGAGGCTGCTACGGACTCGAACAGCATGACCGAAAACGATAGTCAGCTAAGCGAGGATACGGCGACACGGGACGAGGAGATCAGGGCGTTGCAAGTCCAGAAAGAGGCGATTCAACGCCGCATAGAAGAGCTGGAGCGTTCTGAGACGCAGTCACAAGAAGACAACCGGCGAGATTAAGACTAGAATCAAGTGCGAATGATCAAATTCTGGAAGCGAGAAGAGAGCGAGGGATCATGACTTGGACGGGAAACGGCCTACACACCTATGATACCACTTTGCGCGGCTGTAGCATGTTGCTACGGGCTATTTTGCTTTTTAACTACACACACACTCATCTTACAGGAGGAAATATCCGAAAGTCGTTTTTAGGAGTACGGAGGTTGGGTGGGAAAAGATTATCAAAACCCAAATAATTTAATACCAAAGTTTTGAATTCTTGATTTACCAATGCTTATTACAAAAGTTTCCTTGCCCCTTTGTTGTAAATTGTAATAGTCAGGTGTTGATGAGACAACCATATAACAAGAGTCATTGTCTTAGTTTTGGCAACAGTGGTTGGCTCAGGGAGCTTGATAGAGTCGGCGAAGCGTTGTATGAGATGGACAGGGCACATCGGCCAGATTCATTTATTTATCACAATAATATCTCAAACCCGCTGGGAACCATCCAACCCGCGCACTTACGGACTTCTTCATTGATAGCCAAGAGGAGGCAGAAAACATGGAACCTCTACCCTAAGTAAGTAAAAGGCTTATATAAATTTAGTATTTGATATAAATGTAGTTGACCTCAGATCAGGCATCTCCAGCGCCTCGTTTGGTACCAGAAGTGTGTTGCCCCCTGTGGACAGCTTACATTGGTAGTACATTGCCAATATTCACATGAATAGCCTTAACGTTGTAGTAAGCCTCCAAACCTGCCTCGCCGAGTTCTCTTCCTATCCCACTTTGTTTGACTCCGCCAAAAGGCACTCGGAAGTCTGAGTCATTGCTGCTGTTCACCCATACCATGCCAGCCTCGATTCTACGGGCGACGTTGTGAGCCTTGCTGATATTCTCTGTAAAGAGCGCACTGCCGAGGCCATACATCGAATCATTAGCCAATCTCACTGCTTCATCCTCGTCTTTGAACTGCAACACCGCGGCGCATGGGCCGAAGATCTCCTCTCGGTAAATCCGCATCGACGGCTTCACGTCGACAAAGATGCTTGGGCTGACGAAGTACCCCTTTTCGAGCCCAGGTGGCATACAGCCATCCAAGATATCTTTTGCCCCCTCTTCCTTTCCAAACCTGACATATTCTCGCACTCTGTCAAAGTGCGCTTTGCTGACGAGGGGACCGAGGTAAGTTTTCTCTTCGAATGGTTGGCCCACAGGATATTTCAGCGTTGTTGATTTGAGAGCGTCGAGGAAGCGATCGAAGATTGTGTCCTGAACCAGAATGCGTGTTGTTGCTGTGCAGAGCTCTCCTTGATTGAAGGTGAAGCCAAGGTGAGCCCATTGAGCGGCCAAGTCCAAGTTTGAGTCTTCGAACACAATCAAAGGAGACTTTCCACCAGTCTCAAGGGTGAGCTTCTTCATGTCAGTACTACCGAGTTTCATGAGCTCTTTTCCTACGCGCGTGCTCCCAGTGAATGAGATTTTAGATATTTGCTTGTGAGTTGCCATGGCGGCACCAACAACGGGACCTAATCCATTGATGATATTGACCACACCAGGCGGGAAACCGGCCTCCTTGACCAATGTGGCCAGATAGAGGACAGAGAGAGGTGTAACTTCTGAGGGCTTTAAGACAACAGTGTTGCCACAACACAATGCCGGGGCGAATTTGGTGATAGCCATGTTAAGGGGAAAGTTCCAAGGAACTATCAAACCACATACACCGATTGGTTCTTTAAGTGTATACGCAAGCTTATCAGCACCAGTGTCGATAACTTGCCCGAAGAACTTGTCCGCATACCCGGCATAATAGCGGACAATCTTGATGGCATCCTCGACGTCTCCTTCAAGTGCGATACTGTATGCCTTTCCAGTATTGAGGGATTCGGCACTTGCGAGAGACGTGCAATTCTTCTCCATGAGGTCAGCCAGACGGAACATGAGCTTCCCTCTATCAGTTCCTGACAAACTGCGCCAATCAGGGTGGGAAAAGGCGTCAGCAGCCGCTTGAACGGCCTCGTTGAGATCCTTCTCGGTGGCCAAAGCAACCTGGGCTATCTCTTCCTCGGTCCTACGGAGACATGTAAGAAATTGAGCTCAAGTGAACTAAGAAACTCTGCCACTTACGCAGGGTTCACCACGGCAAGGGTTCTTGCATTGTTGGACTCGACGAACTCATTGTTGATGAAGAGGCCAACAGGCTGTGCCCATTTATGGCCATTTGGAGCCGAGAGGTCAACGAAAACAGGCGCCATCGAGACTGGCTGTGCAAAGCCGGTGGTGGTGATGATACTGATTCAGTATTTGCGATTTGGAGCGATATCGTCGCCACCCTTATACCGAAAACATGCAGATTGAAGCAATTGATAGCGAACTTACTCCATGACTCGTAGGTCAGTCCTGCTCAACTGTGAAGATCCATGGAATCATCCGACGGTGGAAATTGACCGACGGTGTATTTCCGACGGCAATTTGACATCCGTGGAACGATTACTTGGTGTCTTCGAAGACCTATGGAATGTGGAACCGTTCAGCAAGCTAATTCGAAATGAGAGAAACCTGGGGTAAGTAGGTGGCAGCTAAGTTGCGACTTGATTTGTGCCCAGGTTTGCTAGTGGTGAAGCTCCATGTGAGCCTGAGATGGCACCTAGTAGATAGAGCCGAGATACAAATATCAACACTCTTACAGCACCATCCGTCACGATATCATCTGAGAATCACAGTCTCTCAATCTTTCATCTAGATAATCAAAATGCACCTTTACTCTCTCTTCACTTCTTTGGCCTTGGGCTCCTTTGTACTTGGAGGTGCGGGCCCGTCAAAGGCACCAACAAGCCCTTATTGCAAAGGAGAATGCCAGAAGAACTTTACTATGGGCTGGGAGATTGATGCTGGAAACTGGGTGGCTGCGAACCTCAGCCATGATCCATTCTGGCATCTTCCGCAGAACGTCTCGACAGCCAAACCTGGTGATATCCTGCGATGGCAAGACATCGATGCTACCACTGTCGGCGCCAATTGGACTATTCCTGCCGGCGCGTCCCTTTCTAGATTTCAATATGCAAGCGAGGATGTTGACGGAAAGATTGTTGCCGCGAGTGCATTTCTCCTTATCCCATATGCGCCGACAAATGGTGCCAAAAGGCTAAGGACATTGGTATGGACTCACGGCACTGCTGGCGTCGTCCCTATCTGCGCCCCCACGAACCACAGAAATTTATATTACGATTGGCAAGCACCATACTCTTTTGTGCAACTTGGATACGCTGTCGTTGCACCGGACTATGCTGGCCTCGGAAGCACCACGCCCAAGGGATTTCAGTACATAGCAGGCTGGACTCACGCTGCCGATGTGGCATTCAGTGTTATCGCTGCCAAGAAGAGAATAGGGACACTTCTCTCTGACGAATGGGTGACTGTCGGTCAGAGTGAAGGCGGGATGGCCGCTTGGCGTGTCAACGAGAGGCTGGCGCTGCCAGGCCAAGATGCTCTGAAGAAGGCCGGAAACTTTCTCGGCTCAGTCGCCATCGCCCCGGCAAACCGCCCGACCGACCTCATCGACTATCTGAACAGCATGCCTGCTTCGGCAGATGGCTCTGCCAATGGACTTACCGCCTATCTCCTACCCAATATCGCCAATCTCTACCCAGAGCTACATGTTGAGGATTATCTGACCAAGACTGCTATCGGACGTCTCACTCTCATACGGCAGAGCTGTACATATGGTGGTTACTACGCCGCAGGGAACATGGCCAACGAAGAATTCTACAAGAACTCATCGTGGACCAAGCACCCGGCGGTTGCGGCATGGAGGAAGACGTACATGGGAGAAGGTCACTGGAAGTTGGCGGCGCCCTTGATGATAGTTCAGGGGGTCGACGATGGAATTGTTCCTATCAAGTTTACGGTTGAGGATTACAAAAAGACCTGCAAAGAAGAACCCGGCTCTTCCGTCAGATTTTTGACATACGCAGGTCAGAACCATGACAGCGTTACGGTCTCCGCGCAGGCTGACTATATGTCATGGGTCAATGATTTGTTCAATGGAAAGAAGATGAAGAAGGGTTGCTCCCGGGAAGATATTCGTCCATTGACAGATCGGTTTCAACGAGTGGCCATCCAGTATATCGCCAACTTGTAAATTGAGAGGCGAGTTGCTGCATCTTCTGGCTGCAAGGGCTTGATCTTCCATCATGTATGCGGCGAGCAGTGCAGATTGAGTTGGTTTGTGTCATGGGTACCGATTTTGTTAGAGGCAGCTTTGAGGTATTACTACCTATCTCCTTAACTGTCCAGAGGTATTAATTTATTCCAGAGTCAGTATGTAGTCCACGCATATCCAATGTCATTCAGCATATGCCCTTTTCATTCGGACAACATAGCCCTGTGTACCTAAAATCGAGATATATATTATCCCGATTGAAATTGCGAAGCTGAGAATGGTTGGACATCAAGTCTCGATATCGTAACTAATAATTAATGCCTCGAACCCCAACAAGTAGCTCGCTTTAACCAGTAAGGTGTGGTAGGGATGCGTTTCTGTCTCATAACATCTTTGGTAATACCAACTTTTCAAGAACTGTGTATCGGCTACCTCGACTATTGGGAAGATGGTTGGTTTTGAGACTACCTCTATGGAATACGTGTGAAATTGACGAATGAACTCCACCTCAAAGCCTCAGATCCGTGTGATTCCATTGGCTGATTCTTAGTTGACATTTCCACCGATTATCTGACGCATGTGGTATGAAAGAGGAGAAAATGGTGGCTTTAAATATGCCGACGGTGCATTCTTGCTGCGGAGTTCTCCACTAAGCTCCAAGATCTGATCACCGTAGCTAACCTGGGATAATCACGAAGCAACTGGGAACGGCGGGGAATATACCAGATTGTCACTAATCCTATTGTATAAGATGGTACTCTTTCTTGACTACTAGATCTGAGTAAATGCACATAACTATTATCGAGTGCCCGTGATACAGCAAAAAGGGAAAGAAAAAAAAGCCATACCGGTCATCTTATCATAGCGTGAACTATTTCTCAAACTCATCGAGCCATGTCACTGGACTCGGGCACTCAATTCACTTCCAATGCCCTGGAGAAGGCCATGGATCATGACAGGCCTGCTTTGTCCCCAGCGAGCTTCCCACTGACACCCAACGACGCCAAGTGCTATTGGATCGAGAACTTCCCCTTTAGCTTGGACGACCGTTTTGCGTCAGCTCCTCTACCAGAAGAGGTCGATGTTGCCATTATCGGTTCTGGCATCACCGGCGCCGCAGCTGCATACAGATTTTCTCAGAAACGGCCCGAACTGCGTGTAGCCGTCCTTGAAGCTCGCAGTCTCTGCTCTGGCGCGACAGGCCGTAATGGTGGCCATATTGGACGCCCAGAAGTCTATGACTATCGCGAGCTAGCAAGGACCTTCGGTACCGAGGATGCCCTGCGTATGAGAAAGATGGTGCTCAGAAACAGAGACATGATGATTGAGTGTATTTCTCAGCTCGGTGCTGCAGAAAAGGTCGATCTTCGTCTCAATGGCACTATGGTCGTCTTCGCAAACCAAGAGGAGCGCCAAAAGTTTGAAGACGATCTGGATTACGCCCGTGAGCAAGGGTACGAGGAGGAATGCTGCATTTTGAGCCCAGAGGAAATCCTGCAGGTATGAAAGGAGAACCTATCGCTTGAACCCCCAGCTCATAAATATTTCTATGGCAGAAAATCTCCATTGCCCCTGAAGCGGCTCAACATGGTGCCGCATATCTTGAGAACTGTGGCACCATGTACCCCAGGAAGTTCGTCAATGTGCTCTTCGAGACCGCGCTGGAAAGAATGCCAGCCCTCTCACTGCACCCCAATACGCCCGTCTCCCAAGTTTCTTACATCACAAAAGACCCAACCCGGCATTACCGAATCAAAACCAGCACTGGAAAAGTTGTCAATGCCAAGGCCGTCCTCCATGCGACCAATGGCTACGCAAACAGCCTCTTGCCCGCTCTAAGGGGGAAGAAGGGCGTTGTGGGCTGCATGGCTCACATGCTCGGCGTACAACCGCCAAAGATTGCCGGTACACAGCTTCACCAAGGGTTTGGATACGCTGACTTTTGGCACTGGATTCAACAGGCACCGCAGGAAGGCCCATTTTTGTATGGCCTTGCTACTGCGGAGCGTATGAACTACTACAACGACTCCCAGACTATCCCTGATGATGACCCGGTGAAGAAGGAGATGCTACGATTCCTCAAACAGACATTCGGCAAATGGTTCCCAGGAACTGAAGTGGAGCCATGCGTCAAGTATGACTGGACAGGTATCCAAGGATTCACTGTAGATGGTGCAAGTATTGTTGGTCGGCCGAACAAGGATAGCTTGGGAGAATTCGTATCTGTGGGACACAACGGTGAGGGGATGACGAGGTGTTTCGCTTGCTCAACTGTCGTAACGGACATGATGCTCTCTTTCTTGAGTGGAGAAAAGGGGTTCCAGATTCCTGAATGGTTCCCCAGGGCATTCGTGAGAGATCTGAAAAGTCGGAAAGCTTGATTGTAGTTGAATCCAAGAGTCCCCTGGCCAAAGTTTATAGTTAGGATATATTCAATAAGTGTAGACCGACCAAGACAAGAACGCCTAGTCATAGTGTCTATCTTGTCGACCGATGATTAGAACAATTGAATGCTTAATTCAAAATATCCGGGTTGACAAATACGAGCATTTGGCGAACAAATTCTTTCGATCGCACTTGTCCGGGCTTGCCGATCCTGCAGAGATCGCGAATGAACAGGGTAACGGTTCATGAACTGTGAGCTTTCGACAACAGGTTGCTTCGGTGACCGAAGAATACCATGCCCCCCGGACGCCCATCGATAGAACGCCAACTCATCCAGTGTCCTGTTGTAGTCAGAAGATGAACCTGGGCTCCCCAACATGACAGAACTGGATAGGCATGTCTGGATGTGCTTGATAAGTTCCACGTCAAATCGTGTGCCCTTCATAAACGTTTCAAGCGCCCTCAAGTGGCGATCGGCCGAGGCAAGGAGTGTGGGTGGCATTGTAGCCATAACCTCGTGAGAACCCAAAGAGCCATCGACTTCCCTAAGCGCAAGGCAGGTGACCACAGACGAGGTGAGAACGAGGAAAACTGTCGCGGCAGATATAGTATGACAGCTAGAATCGAGGTGCATAAGGGTAGGAATGGCCTATTTAGAGGCTCTTATTAGCATTGCCACGGAAGCACAGGCAGGCTAGACACTCATCTCATACCTCTCCTAGCAAGATTGAATGGTCCAATGCAGAAATGAACTCGGAAGTTGAGGTCAATTCACCACTCGTAAGGAGCAGGAAAAGATCACGATCAATGACTTTCTCTTGTATTAGCCTGAAGGGATTTGTGACCTGGCCCGTTGAATTCAACCACGTACATGTGAGCATGAAGATCCCATGAAACCAAATCATGGCTTCTGCCTGATATGCGTGTTCGAGACACTCATACTCAAGAAGCGTAGTTGGAAACCGAATAAAGTATGCCTCCAGCTCATCTCGAATCTCATCTAGAGCAGATGAGTCGTGGGACGAGGTGATGACTCTCTGTAAAGGTCTTTGTGGATTGTCAATACAATCAGATCATTGGAACATTGTAATGTGAGGAGGTAGTACATACTGAACCAGGGGCATAAATAATGAGAAGAAATCAGTTGGCATATTAGTTGGAGAGGCACCGCCAATCCATCCGGGGCTCAGAACCTCGTGCTGCAGATCCTCAGGCAAACTCTGGAAGCCAGCAGAGGCAGTCGGTGGCTTGTAGTGCAGCATGCTAAGGACTCTACAGCCTCAGAGAATCGATTTAGCGTTCTTCTCAGAAGATGGGTGAAAATAGACACGGAAAAGGAGAAACTTACGCGTTTTGGAGTTCGATTGCTTTTCCAACTCTGGATCACTTTAGTAAGCTGAAGAAATAGAAGAAGCAAATACATAAGCATACCGGGCAAGAACATTTCTTTGTAGCGGATCTAAATTACCCATTCTCACAAGATCGTGCCAGATCAGGCCTGCTATCGCATTCCAGCGACAGGCAATCTCAGCCATGCCGGTCTGAAGACACCATGTGTGGCTGGCAAGCAGGAGCGACATGGTATGTGATACATTTATATCGGAGGATTTCCAGGCGAGCATTGGCATGAGTTTGAGTGATTCTATACGCAGTGTATCTATGAGCAGCTCCAGAGAATACTGTACGTCGATAGGGAGCCAAACAAAATTCAGCTGAAGCCCAACTGCAAGAAGCATCAATGCAAGTTCACGTGGCTGGCCTTCTGACTGGTTAAGCAATGATGTTGGCGACATATCTGGGGGGAGATGAGACAATATGGCAAAGATTCCGAGCCGCCCTGACTGGTCAAACACTTGTGAGAGAATGTATTGGGCCGTTTGTATGTCGAAGCCTAGAGCAAATGCCTCATCCAACGAGGTAAATCTAGCATGTGTCCTAGGTTGAAGATGTGTCGTTGAATCCTCATCATGGTGCATTGGTGTGAGTTGTTCGACCTGTGTGTGGCCTTCAATATCGATTGCGGAATCCCCAGGGTTTGATGTAAGATTGTCAGGCGGGATTTCATTTGATTGAGCCGCGTTTCCTTCTCCTGACCAGGTTGATGACTGGTTTGGTATATCGTCACTTGATGATATTGATTCCTCTCTCGCGGCGTTCTCTGTACGAGGATAGTCCGTCGAGTCTTCTCTTCTTGGAGCTGGGACCTCGAGCTGATCAGCAAAAAGATCAGAGCCGCGTCCAGTCTCGCGTCTGCGCCCAGTATTCAACCTTGGTCTGCCTGGGCGACGAACAGGCCGCTTATAAAGACATGCTGTTTGGAGCCGTCGGCAGCGAGTGCATGGAGATTGTCCATCGCACTGCGTTTTCTATGAAAAATCAGCGCCATACTTTCGGAAGAAGTTGAAATGAGTTCCTATAGTAACTCACCAAGAGCCAGCATCGATCACATGCACGCGCCATAGAAAACGAAGCGTGTTCAAAAATGTTGTTGTAGATAAGGAGGAAAGGTTACATGAAAACGAACGACTGAACGAGTCTGGGCTCTGCCTCTCTGATCTATTGGAGCCGTTTTAGCACGGGTTGCACTATAACGTTAGTGGCTGCCTACTAATCTATAGTAGGTACTTTACCTACGTACGACCTTGGGTACAGGTGCTATCTACCCCTCTGACGCCCCGAATCTCTATACTTCCTTCAATCAATCATTGAAGCTCTATATCATGTCCTCATCAACATCTGGCTCAGGCCCAACAAAGTTCAGTGCCGAACAATTTGGCCCTGCTTGGAGTCAAGGGCCCATCCTCTCTGGAGCAGAGAATCAGAGCTTGTGTCGAGGTTAGTGCTCAATTTGAGAAATCAAGCAGCAGGGAATGGATATATCCATTCCCACAACCCTCTCCCTATTCCATGATTGTGTTCCCCCAATGCGGCAGCCATGATTATACTTGCTTGACCGAGCGCTGATTTGGTCCTTGATTACTCCTAGTCATAAGACGGAGCAGACGTGCCTTTGGTGCTATTGATAAATCCTCACCCTCTTTATTGCGAATGATACTACCGCTGTGCCTGAAGTCATCATCCATCAGACATGGTTTACTATCTCTTGCCTCCAACCCCTCGGAGCGCTCGCCAACGGACCTGTATCATTACCAGATGGCTTTGACACAGCTCCGTGGGGATATTGGCGCAGCCAGTGGGGATAATGTTGACATCGAGTGGATTCATCAGCTGTTGGCCTCGTCGTTGATCCTCAGCTTCTTCACCTTCTCCCAATGCGATGGTTACTCGATACGTCATATCCGTGGCATGATTAGCATCGTTAGGATGACAGATCAGGCACTCCTCGCCTCTACACCCCTGGGTCGCTTTCTCATGGGTGTATGTTCATACCACGACATTTTGGCCTTTTGGATTGGTAGAAAACAACCATCACAGAGGGCTTGGACATCTTGGATGTCGCATCGAACCCAAACAGACCCTGGCGGGGACTTGACAGCCTTGGAGAGCATGATGGGGTATCCCGAATCTCTTGTGAATATCATTGCTGATGTTGCCGAACTCGTTGATGATAACATTTACTTGGAACTTGAGAACAGGGCTGATTTGAGCAATGGTCAATCCGTGTCAAGTTTCACACAAGGTAAGAGATGATTACCCGCATTGCCCTATCAGACTTCAATAAAGCTCATAGTCTATCACCGAACAGCATCACCGCTTGCTTATGGTAACGCAAGCGATGAGCTTGAAGGCTCGTTAAAACGCTGGGCTGTGCCGTCGGTCCCTCAAGGTCTGTCGCCTGTCGCTGGTATGGTCCTGCGCAGTGCCTGGGAAACCTTTCGTTTGGCTGCCTACTTGTATCTATTGAGATGCTTTGGTTTCCATGCAAACCACTTGGAGCCTTTTAGAGCGGACCGCAGTGCGCTCGCCGGAGCACATGTGTCGGCAATTATCTCCAACTGTGAGGCTATACTTGGCCTGGGCTCTATCCCACGAGTCTCTATTGGAAACGCATTACTATGGCCGCTGGTTGTGGTAGGGTGTGAATGCGGTCCAGGGTCAGAGCATGATGGACAGACAATTCTTGATATGCTCCAAAGTCTTGAGCGTCTTTACAGCATGGAGCACCCGAAGTATGTGAGGCAAGCTCTCCAGAAACTGTGGGCTGCCAAACGGACCTGGCTGAATTGTCAACAAGCTCCCACGGACGCCGCGAGGCCACCTGCTAGCCTGAACCAAATCGTCACCGAAATGAAACTGGTGATCCCGCTTCTCTGAGGGGGAAGAACCGCGAAGAATCGTGGATGCTTTGGAGTTGAAACTAGGCCCATTGTCATATTGACACCCTGCGATGAATCCAGAAATAAATTGCCATCACCTTTTGTTTCTACCTCGAATGAAAACAACAAACCCCCAAATTAATGTCTCTAGCCGTTATTTTATGGCCAATCTGTTCCCGCTAGGATAACACGTACATATGCATACCATGTTGGCCAGAAACAAAGCCGACGGTTTTCCATCAAAGCTCATCATGCCTGGTTGCCGGCAATTCAGCAATCCCAGCAGAATAGAGGGCCCCGCAGCGCTCATTCCCCCTCATCAATGAATACTTACATAGATCCCTGCTAGTTCGATCCTGAAGATGGCTAGGTACATATCTTGAAAAACCCTCCGTCGGTGGTTTTGTCATTGTGGTGATATGACATTTCTTCTGAACTTGATGGTTATGTCTCATTGCCTACGTATAGGATGACGAATCGCATTGCGCTCTATCAACATCTCGCGTACGGAACATTTTTTAGGTGATGGGCCAACACGGCTGGTTACTGGAGGGCCAGGCTGGATTACCAATGGGTGAATGTAGGGAGTTGGACAGAAGCAGGCTTGTTTCATATGATTCCCAAGCAATCGCGAACGACCTGCCCAATTTCTCTCTTGCACGTATTGTCTGATACAGATATTGGCTCTGTTGAGCCTTTGTTTCTTTCAGTTTTCAATCCACCCAATCTGCTATTCCTTGCATGATATTCAATACGTATATTTCCTCACTTCAGCCAGAAACATGACCAAAACCGCCACAGCAAGACACTGTCTGGCTTTGCCAACCTGGAGAGATGTCACAGCTCAACGCCAATCTGAGAAAGAGAGGGTTATAAAGGAGTGGTCAGAGCGGATACTAGGGACTCCAATTCCTCTCATGCCTCACTTAACAGTCACAAACGTGGTGGAATGGCCTTACAAGAGTGGTCAGCTGAGTGCTCGACAAATCGAAATCACGGATTCTGAACCAAGCCAGCTATTGAAGATGTTGGCCTCTGGGACTTGGACGGCACAGGAGGTTCTTCTGGCCTTTATCGGCCGGTGCATCATTGCCCACCATCTTACCAATCCACTGACCGATCCCATGTTTGACCAAGGTTTCCGCCGAGCTGTAGAGCTCGATGATTATCATCGTAGAACAGGCAAGACTGTTGGGCCGTTTCACGGGTTGCCAATAAGTTTGAAAGATGTTTTCAACATCCAAGGGATGCCGACGACTCTTGGCTTTGTTGCCCGAGCAAATGCACACCCCTTACACTCTGACGAGTTGGTCAATCGACTCTCAGCGGCTGGAGCTATATTTTATTGCAAGACGAATATTCCCCAGTCTCTTATGTCTGGCGAATGCCATAATTTCCTCTTCGGACGGACATCGATGCCGTATAACACTACCTTGTCCGCAGGAGGGTCAAGCGGGGGTGAAGGCTCCCTCATAGCGCTTGGAGGCAGTCCTCTAGGAATTGGAAGTGACATTGCTGGATCGATTCGCACGCCAGCAAACTTCAATGGCACATACGGCCTATGCCCCACGAGTGGTCGATTCCCTCTTCATGACGCCGAGCAGTCAAACGCTGGGTATCTTATCAATGGTGTTGCAGGACCATTGTCAAAAAGCATTGACGGGCTGGAAGTGTACGCAAGAATATTGCTATCTCTGAAGCCATGGGAGTGGGATTCTGCATGCGAGAGACTTCCCTGGGATGAACAAGTATATCAAGAAACCCTGCTCGTTGGACTGAGCGGGAAACAACAGCTCTGTATTGGCTTCGTTGCAAATGACGGGATAACCACCCCGCATCCCCCTATTCAGCGAGGAATGAGAGAAACTAGGGCTGCTCTGGAAAAGGCTGGAGTTCAAGTAGTGGATGTCCAGCTGTTCGACGGAACGGAAGGCATGTGGGAAATGATGACACGTATTTTCAATGCAGATGGGGGGACGGCATTCAGAGAAGAGATTGCCAAGTCTGGAGAACCCATATCCCAGGAGATTGAGCTCGCCAACCCACAGGATGCAATGAGTGTACGCCAACTTCTTGATCACGGGAAGAAGATCCTGAAAATTCGTCAACATATACTCAATAGGTGGCAGAGAACATCATCCTTGACCGCAACAGGGCGGCCGGTAGATGTATTCGTCCTACCTTCAGGGTGCCATGTTGCCCCTCCACATGGAACCATGAAGTACTGGCTCTATGAGGCCATTTCCAATATCCTAGATTGGACATGTGCGACAATTCCTGTTGGGCATGTTGACCTTCTCAAAGACCGAAAGCCCAGCAATGGCGGGGACTTTAAGCCTCTGTCGAGTTTCGATCACGATAATTGGAATCTATGTAAGTGATCCTCGAGCGACGAGCTTCAGAGGCCTCAGAGGTCATCCATTTTCTTTGCTTGTGTGCCCCTGTGTTGACCAACATTACAGACTCCCCTGAGCTATATTCAGATGCTCCCGTTTGCCTTCAGGTATTAGGGCAGAAATTCACAGAAGAGAAGGTCTTGGCGAGTTTGAGAATTATTGAAGCATCATTGCTAGCATCTAAGCAGGTTGCACGTAATTGATATGTTAAAGGAGAACAGCCAGTATAGAATGCCATGATCTTTGCTCTAAGTAGTAGAGTTACTAGGATGGAACAGTCAACAGCTGGTCCTGTCACCTCTTGCTTTCCAATATAATGGGATTTCCAATATTCGAATGAACATTGACACCGGGGAAAATTTCTATAGAATATTATTTACAAAAGCCCTTTTGAAGACACTGTGACTACTCTTGTGCCATCTTCAGTATTCAGGACCTCTGACCATGATCATCAAGAGACTTATGTGAATGGGAGCGGTACACGTGACGGCGCTTTCGGCGATGGCCGACTCCCAAAGAGTTCCGTACAAAGTAAGGCTGTAATCTGCCAAATGGACCAGGATGCGGCGGCTTCTAATCCACTGCGGTGCAGAAGTATTATGCCGGCGGACGAATTCCTTTGAACTCATGCGACTTGCTATCTAGAGGCTACCCTGAAAGCTGCGGCTTGCCAACCTCCCTCTCAGTGCAAGGCAAGGTTTGGTAGAAATGCTTCCGGGGATTCATAATGCTCATTACTCAAGATCGCGGGTTTACTCCTGCATAGGCAAATACATATGGTCAAATGTTAGTATCCCCAAGATCATTCAACTTCATGTACTCCCCCAAGTTAATTTGTTCTTAAACGTCTGATTCTGACCAGAAGAGTCTTTCAATGACCCTGACTATGGCTACAAACATTGTGGTGATCTCGGATGCTGGCACTCTAGCCCCAGAGATAAAGGATGAGATCGGAGCATACAGTGATATTGTTGGCTCGAGGTGAGCTATAATATCTCTATTGTCAAAAGAATCATTTCTCACAGCAGTTTATAGATCAGATGCCAATGCACCAATCGTGGCTGGTATCTGGGACCTTTTTGACAGAAAGACACCAACCGAATCATATACAGCAGAATGGGATGAAATGAAATACGTCGTAAAGGGTATACTTGTTATTATCCCTACTTGCCAGGGCCATCAACTGATATTCTCCTTGCGTGATAGGCACTGGAGTAATTACTGATACTGTCACAAACCAATCCTACGACTTGAAACCTGGAAGCCTCCTTTGGATTCCAAAAGGCTCACGAGCCTCGTTCACGAAGTCGAAAGGCTTTTCAACCATTTATGTTGAGCAGAGACACGGAGAAGGCAACTTCAAAACGGGTAGCGAGGCCAAAGCATCCTGCGACTTGCGCAGCAAACTCGCTACATTAATCGACAACTTCGTTGCAGAAAACCCTTCATCTCTAGCCACCCATAAAGGAGCTCAAGAGACTCTGGCTGGCGAAAACACGGGCTCAATTTCTCGCGGAGACCCGTTTGCGCTTTGCATGGAGGGCGGGCAGGGTCCTTATCTATACTCTGTCGACAAGAGAGAGTATCTGGACTTTGTATCTGACTATTCGGCAGCTTTCTACGGACACTCGAACCACACTATCTCTGAAGCCATCAGAAGTGCCCTGTCTACTGGCTTCAGCCTGGGTAGTGCCACTCACAAAGAGTGTCATCTTGGCGAGCTTATCAAGAGAAGATTACCAAGTATGGAGAGAGTTAGGTTCTGTAATTCCGGCACCGAAGCCAACACCTACGCATTAGCTACAGCCGTAGAATTCACCGGCAGAACAAAGGTTAGTGAAGAGTCTGCGAGGGGCTATCTCTGAAGCCTTGTGAAACTAATTTATTCTTATCCTAGATACTGGCGTTTGATAATGGGCACCACGGCGTTACCCTGAATTTTGGCTCAGGGGACAACAAGTTGAACGTATCTCACAGCTTCATTCTTGGTACCTACAACCAAATAGAGGCCAACCAAAAGCATATATCATCAGATCTAGCAGCTATCATTGTCGAACCGATGCTTTCAGCAGGCGGTCAGATTCCCGCTACCAGGGAGTTCCTCTCCTTTCTGCGCAAAACAGCCGACGTAACTGGTGCCGTACTGATATTCGATGAGGCTATGACATCTCACTTACATATCAATGGAATTCAAGGATTCCACAAGATTATGCCTGATATGACAACTCTTGGAAAACACATTGCAGGGGGCCTCCCTTTTGGAGCATTTGGGGGGCGCTCTGACATCATGGCTGCCCATGAGCAGATAGCCCAGAAACTGGGCCACTCTGGAACGTTCAATAACAATGTTCTCACCGTTTCAGCTGCCCTGGCTGCCGTTGATCTGGTCACGGAGGACGTGGTTCATCGCGTCAATAAACTTGGGGACACTATTCGAGACCGGATCTCAGAGATCTGTGCGAAGCATCACCTTTCTGACCTCAAAATTACTGGCTTCGGAAGCATCATAGGACTACAGTTTCGTCGTGTCGATAGAGACCTGTTGATGGGGCTTTTATTCTATCACATGGTTCAGCATGGGATTTGGATCGGCCGCAGAGGTTTTCTTTTTCTGAATATGTGCCACACAGAGGATCATGTTGAGCGTTTTCTGACGGCGTTTCAAAAGTTCATTGAGGAGTTGAAATAAATTATCGCTTTGCATTTGAAAGCAGTACAATGATAGACAGACTCAAGCATTGCTTCTCATCCGTGCATGAACTTCGCTGCTGGATTCATACGGTTCTCAAAGAAGCCTACCCTCATAATTGTACTCTTTAAACTAGAAGTTTAGGCGATATTGAAGGCGAAGGAAGGTATTTTTAACATCGAAAAAGCATCATATACGGTTATTAATCAGGTCTACAATCTCGCAAACTCTGTCAAAATACCTCCAGTTTCTTGAGAGTCTATCTTGAACTTCTAAGCTATGCCATGTTATCCATGATCTCGAGGTCTATTGGGTCTTTGAGTCGTGAGGCCAAATCGAAATAAGCAGTAGGAACATGGGGATCAGTCGGTTCACCAAGAAACTTCTCACAAAAAGCCTTACAACTCAGAAAGATGCGCGCCATCCCTAAATTACCTCCATTAGCAAAGAAATCCTTTCACTTACTGGACTGCTAGACCTACCATGTCCGTGATATCCACCAGCCAAATATTGACCAGGCTTGCCTGGAAGTTCTCCCAAAAACGGAAGAAGATCTTTGCTCAGGCCCATGATGCCACTCCAGGAGAATGCCACGGCACCTTCAGGGCCAGTTCCAGAAGACGCCCTAGACTCTTTCCAATCTCTAAATATTTCAACTGGGGCATTCAAAATGTAGGACTCGACTTCAGACACGACATGACGGTCATCGCAGTCACCGAAACCGCCTGAGAGACCTTTGGGATGAGCAACCTCGCCACCGCCCCAGATCAGGTACTTTTCAGGACCTGGTCTTTGGATGAGATAGTCGTAATCGTCATTAGATATGAAAGCAAAAGATGTCGTTAGAGGCTGGTCCATATAAGCCGGTGGGGGCCTGATGGCAGAAACATGACCCTTGAGGGGGATAATTCGCCCATCAAGCTCAGGTAGGAGGTACGAAGCATAGCCGTTGGTTGCATGGATGACCTTATTTGCCATCACAACCCCTCGGGGTGTTGAGATCTTCCAAGATCCTGAGGTGTCGGGAGATACACTTGTGACAGGAGTATTGGTGTGAAGACTTAGTCCCAAGTCGAGCCCCTTGCGTAAAACAGTGATTGCGAGTTTATATGGCCACAGACTGGCAGCTGGGAAAGTGATTGCTCCATAGCAACACTTGACCCGCAGAGACTCCTCAGCCTCTGCTTTACTGAGTACATTGATATCGGAGACATCGCCGCCAGATTCTTTGAAGCCATTGTACGATGACAGGCCGGTCTTCCAGGACTCTGGGGTCAGGTAGACGTCGGCTGAGCGATACTGTACCAGATCAACTTCGGCAGCTAGATTATTCTCATGGATGAATCTTGCGGTTTCTTGATGGTTGGCGGCTTCGAATTCACACTGAGCCTTTGCAACATCAGTGCCATGCAGGATGGAGTACGATGTGAAGCCACGATAACAGTCCGGCTTTATATGACCGCCTAAGCAGAGGAAGTGTAAGTACCATACGATGATAATTAATTGATCTGTGCGACTTCTGTTGCTCACCATTTCTTCCAGTAGCACCACTCGCTGCGTTGCGGGCCTCCAAGATGACTACGGACTTTGGTCTGTTTGGTGAGCTGGAACTGAGTAACTGGTGGGCGATGAAGGCACCAGACAACCCAGAGCCGATGATAACAACATCAGCAGAGGGGGAAAATTCAGCACTGCAGTTATGATTCCAGTCAGTTCGGTATTGATCCAAGCATAAATCTTCCACATCTCCTGACTAGCAAGACCAGCAAGACTAGTTCCAAAGATTGCGCAGCTTGTAAGGACTATTCATAGGTTACTGCTTACGATTGGTAGTTACTGATCACTGGGTCAGGCTCGCTCTGCCAGAAGGACTTGGTCGGATTATCGACTGGCAGAGACGCCAGATAACCAGTAGGTGATTGCATGAGGTCGGGTTGGTATGGACTACAACGGAAGTGATCGGTGAAGTAAGAAGCTGAGCGAAATGAGGTTGAGCCCCTACACTGTACTGTTGTCAATAGACAGCTGTCTTTTATCTGGGTGGCTAAATACAAGGTGATGATATCGTGCCGCAAGCCGATGCCGAGATTCTGATGGATACTTCGTACCGGGAACAATGCGTAGAGGGGCCGCCAAAACCATCCGACGGCCTATTTATGTGTATCTTGTTCTCGACGATCAGGACTAGCGCATATCTCAGTCGAAGCTAGCTATCTATTAAGTTAATGGATCCAATGAATGATTACCCCGCGATCAGATGCAGCCAAAGCAGGGCTAGGTGATAACTAAAAGATAACTGTATCTGGGGTATGCCTATCTACTGCGATTGGCCAACAATGCTCTGTGTCTTGTCGTCTCTCGATGGTATATATCTTCAATGGTACTTGGGATGGGAAGCTTGCTCTCTGGTCAGAGGGACAACCTCCTCCCGAGCCTTTCTCTATTCTATCATATATCTCTGTTGACCTTTCTTCACCTTGAATTCAAAGCAGATAAGCCAATATGGCATCTATACTCGATAGAGACCCTGATGCCGACAAGAAGATGGGTCCCCGCAACTCCATGGCGTCCGACTTTGCTGAAGATGAGGTTGTCCAAGATTTTGGTTACAGCCCCTCATACGCCAGAGTCTTTCGTTCTCTGGGCGCCATGTCACTCACAATGGCTATGGCCTCGTAAGTCACCAAGTCACCTCTACCCCAGGGTCGAGATGCTCGCGACAAAGGCCCGATAAAGTATTCACTGAAGGCTAACAATAGTCATAGACCCATGTGCGGCATCTTCATAGCTGTCTCTTATCAGATCAACTATGGTGGCTATTGGGGACTGACTTGGTATGAACATCGCTGACGCAAACTGTTCTGCAACTCAAACAATGAGGAGCCTGCGCTGACCTTCAATATTCAGGGGCTGGTTTATCCCTTCACTCCTTTTCCTCCCGTGGGCTCTCACTACCGCAGAGTTCTGTTCATCGATGCCAGTCAATGGTGCCAATTATTGGTGGACAGCTGCACTCGCACCTCCGTCGATATCCCGTCCTCTGTCTTTCATCGCAGGCATGGCCAACATCATGAATGCTCTCACAAGCATTGCAAGTTTTGCTTGGGCATCGTCCAGCTCGATCTGCACCATCATAGGCCTCTTCACCGGCTGGGAACCGACCAATCCTATCATCTTTGCGGTCGCTATAGCTACCTGCGCTGCATGGTTTTTCACGGCATCTATTAGGATGGATAAAGCCAACCTTGTTTTCATCTCCTCGGGTATGCTTCCAGACCTGCATCCCCTCATCTGATGCATTATCAATTTGATTGACACAGAGTAACAGCAACTCTTGTTCTCGTCTCCTCGGCCTGTTTTGTCATTGGACTCCCCGTCGCCCAAAAGACCCAGAGTATACCTTTTACTTCTGCCGCTACTGTCTTTGGAGAATACATCAACTACAGTGACTGGGAAAGGCCTGTTTCTGTTCCGTTCACCTTCTTCTGTGCCGCATGGGTCATTACTGGTTGGAATGCACCATCAGCCGTGGCAGAGGAGACTCACAATGCACGAATAGTTGCACCTCGCTCCATCATCAACACGTATTGTCTACAAGCAGGCATGGGTATGATATTTTGCACCTTGTTGGCTTTCTGTATTACCGACATGGAAGCAGCAGCATCTGACCCTACGTAAGTTTCTCATTCCAATAGCAAACTGGTACCGTGTTCTGCCTGGCAGCACGAGACCATGCCCAGATGTGTCAACACTAACCGGCTCCCTTTAGCGGCTACGCTGCCTTTACTCTTCTGATAGAGCGCTGGGGTCTCAAGGTCGCGGGAGCTTTCCTGCTCATCATCTTCCTAAACACCTCCATCGGTGGCGCGGCCGTTTTGGTCATGATGTCTTGTCAGACAGCTGCCTTTGCACGGGATGGGGGGATGCTCTTCAACGACAAACTCTCATACGTCTCGCCCCGGAGCAATATGCCAATTTATACAACAATGTTTCTCACGATTGGCGGGATGCTTATGCTATGTCTGGGGTTTTCTCCTATTGCCTCCGAGACCATATACTCCCTTGCTGTCATTGCTGTCATGGTATTGTACGCACTGCCCATGATATTCAGAGTCTTCGACAATGGACGATGGGTTCCGGGCCCGTGGAATATGGGTCGATTTAGCAAGCCCGTTCATGTCTTGGGTTTCTTGACGGTCGTCTATATGATGATAATGGAATGCTTCCCCCCTCAGGCAACTTGGACTGGAGCGACTCTGAACTATAATTGGGCCGTGTTCTTGGGTGCTGTATTGCTCTCTACCCTCCTGTGGTTTTCTCATGGCTCCCGTCAATACAAGGGGGTTAACCAAGAAATGCTGAGGGCTTGGAGAGAGCGCGAGCATGAACGCGGTTTGAGCCAGGAAGGTTCTGGCGAATCCCGTAGCGAAACATACATTGAAGGAGTGAAGCCTTAGCCATTCTCATTGCCAAAGATGAGCAGTCCATTTTCTGTCAGGGCACTCTACTGCCTAATCCATTGATAGCTATCTAGTTTCCAGTTGAAATCAATATTTGTAATTACCTCTACTCTGACTATTTCATTCATATACCAGCTCTAGGCTGTCCTTCCCAACAAGCTCGAGATAGCAACATGAGAATGCTGAATTCGAGCAATGGGTCTCCAGTAAGTTCTTCTGCTTAGGTGTGTTTTGTTGAAGCAGATCGGTCGAAGTTATTTCACGGATGATACGAAGATTTACGGCCTTCATACCTGGCGCAAGCCATAACCCCTCTCCCCTCGACTGGTCCAATTCCTCGCCAGTCTCTGGCCTTCTGTTAATATGCTTGGAGTTGGGTTAAAATCATTTGATATGTCATTTGTATTCCGATGACCAGTCCAGTCACCTGTATAATTCTTCGGCATCACTGGAAATTCCGCCCCGAGCTTGATATCCTGGTGCCTTGCTGCATCCCTAGATATCTGGTAGCCTGGAGCAAAGATTTCAGGCACCGAAATTAATACACGCCTCGCTACAAGCCATTGAAGTTGGGGCCAGACTGGACAGGCCAGGAAACATGAAATGTCCACGAGTGGCGACTCTATATGCAATGGTAGCTGTAAAGAGGTAAGGAAGAAGATCGAGATATAGTTACATTGAAATACAGGCACGGACAGCTAAGTGTTCTTAGTTCAATGGTCTCCCCCACTCTCCAATTAGAATCGACATGTCGCAATTCTGTAGCTAAAAGCTAAAATGCTACTGCTGTAAGTGATGAGAAAGATCCAAAGCTATATATATGAAAAACCTTGAGAGTCAATACACTGCAGCTGTTCAATAGGTCAGTACCTATCAACTCTCACTGGCATATCACTGGATCTAATGCCAACAAACCATTCCCGGGTGAGCATATCCCACCTGAATGCCCCTTGCAAGCGCAGTTCTCCTACTGTCAAGGGTCCCCAGGCTTCCCTGTCAATTGGCGGTGAGAGGCACTTCAGGTACGCGGTGGTGCTGCTAAAATCTGCCTGTTGCACATGTACCTAGGTACTGATAGCTCCCGTCTGGCGGGCCTAGCAATGTTTGTTGACGGCCCCGCCACCAATTGGATGTCCCACTGCACCAGCGCACCCACAGATTGGAACTCCAAACGCCCACCCCGAAAACCATCACCACCTCAGGCCCCTTCTTCCCCTTCCCCCTTCAAGCGCTGCGCGCATACAGTATTTCTCTCCCCATCTTTTTCCTCCCCCGACTTCAACCTCTCGTCTTAGCTTCTTTAGCTTCATTCAGACAAAATGAAGGGCGAGGTATGTCTACAATTATGCTGCAGCCCGTCTCTCCGCTGCAATGCGTTGCTTCGCTCTGCTCGAGATACCCTTTGTGTGTTCCACTTGGTGTCTGGAGCTGTGCAGCTGGGGCGCCCCCTTATTATCCGTTGAAGCTGCTATCCGACTTCGCGATGCTGATTCTCTGCTATCCAGATTCTTCACCTCCACCTGGGCCAGGCTGGTACCCAGCTCGGTAACTCTGCTTGGGAGCTGTACGTGGTCTTCCTGGATTGTCAAATAACGCCACCGTCACGAACTTGAAGCTGACTGGCCTTTGAATAGCTACCTTCTCGAGCACGGTCTCGGCCCCGATGGTCGCCCCGACCCCAATGCTCCCGATATTGGTGACCCTGGCTCTTTCGAGACTTTCTTCACTGAGACCAGCAGCGGCAAGCATGTTCCTCGATCTCTTTTCGTCGATCTTGACCCCTCTCCTATTGACGAGATCCGAACTGGCGAATACCGTAACCTTTTCCACCCCGAGTTGTTGATCAGCGGCAAGGAGGATGCCGCCAACAACTATGCTCGTGGTCACTACACCATTGGCAAGGAGATGGTTGACAATGTCATTGACCGCATTCGCCGCGTCGCCGGTGAGCTCTTTCGTTACCTCTGTACTTGCACTCGACGCTAACCGCATAATTCAGACAACTGCCAGTCTCTTCAGGGTTTCCTGATCTTCCACTCCTTCGGTGGTGGTACCGGTTCTGGTTTCGGTGCTCTTCTCCTCGAGCGTCTCTCAACCGAGTACGGCAAGAAGTCCAAGCTCGAGTTCGCCGTCTACCCTGCTCCCCGAACCTCGACTGCCGTCGTTGAGCCTTACAATGCTGTTCTCTCTACTCACAGCACTATTGAGAACTCTGACTGTACTTTCCTCGTCGATAACGAGGCTGTTTACGACATCTGCCGTCGCAACCTCGATATTCCTCGACCCTCGTACGAGCACCTAAACCGCCTCATTGCCCAGGTTGTCAGCTCCATCACATCCTCTCTCCGATTTGACGGTGCCCTCAACGTCGATCTCAACGAGTTCCAGACCAACTTGGTTCCCTACCCTCGAATTCACTACCCTCTCATCAGCTACGCCCCTGTCATCTCCTCTGCCAAGAGTGAGCACGAGAGCTTCAAGGTACAGGAGCTTACCTTCCAGTGTAAGTCCTGCCCATGTTATAGACGCACCCTCGAAGATACTGACTCCCCACAGGCTTCGAGCCCAACAACCAGATGGTTGTCTGCGATCCCCGAAACGGCAAGTACATGGCTGTCGCTCTTCTGTACCGCGGTGATGTCGTTCCCCGCGACTGTAACGCCGCCATCGCCGCCCTCAAGGCCAAGGCCTCCTTCAACTTGGTCGAGTGGTGCCCCACTGGTTTCAAGCTCGGCATCAACTACCAGAAGCCCATGGCTGTCCCCGCCGCTCCTGAGGCTGGAGGTCTTGCCCCCGTCAAGCGATCCGTCTCTATGCTTTCCAACACCACCGCCATCGCTGAGGCTTGGTCCCGGCTCGACTACAAGTTCGACCTCATGCACAGCAAGCGTGCTTTCGTCCACTGGTATGTTGGTGAGGGTATGGAGGAAGGCGAGTTCACCGAGGCCCGAGAGGATCTTGCTGCTCTGGAGAAGGATTACGAGGAGGTCGCTGCCGACTCCTTCGAGCCTGAGGAGGAGCTCGAGTACTAGACGATCGACCAAGGCGAGTTTATGTAATCTCTTTCGACTTCTTTGACGACATGTTTTAAGCGATGGCTCGGACAGGGCTCACGCCCGCGAAGCAATGTACAGAAAAGAGTTGTGGAGGATGTTGTTTAAGATTCCCGAGATTTTTGAGGTGGCACACATATGGGGGTAAAGATGTGTTGGTCACCAAGCGCCAGAGTTGGGCTCAGGGTACCCCGTTAGTACATGGTCTTGAATGTTGGTGCCAGGCCCTGATAGACGAGACTATCCCTCGACGCAAGCTTGGTGCCTTTCGTTAGCAGGCACGTAAAACTGATGATATATCCATTTTCATTGAAATACTTTTGCCTATGGCCTCGTTTTATGCCATTGACATGAGAACCACTAACCTCATCAACGTACTGGCCTAGCTCCAACGAAGTCGCCGTGATGCAACCATGATTTGTAGTAAGATTCTGGCTTAGAACTGTGAATCTTAGCACGAAAACCACAGAAATACGTAAGCATTAAATACATAAGCCAGAATTAGTGCTTTATATACCGGTGAACTCTGTACAACTCTATGAACTTTTCAACATCACCCCGATAAGTATACAAGTACCTTTGTCTCTCATCTAAGCGGCCAGAACTTGCCAGGGCAGCCAAGGCTGAAAAATCACTCGCAAACTTTCCGGGGCGTGGGGCCCTCTTTTTTCAACAACACCATCCTCGTTCTCATCTCACGTATGAAAAGAGCACATACCCCATCTGTCAACCACTAGCGATATGAGTGCTGTTCACCATAAAACGCTCAGCTCTTCTTCTTCCACTCGGCAGCTCTCCTTGCGCCTCGGTTTTGGGGCCTGCCGGACCTGCCCTTGCCCTTGCCCTTCTTACCAAGTTTAAGATCTTTGGGTGTGCCGTCCTTAGCTGAAGCACGACGGCCTTCAAAAACGAACTGCTCAGGTCCTTTGATATTGGACGGAATGTTCTGAGCATCTTCGGAAGCACCCTGTGTTGAGGGGCGCTTCTTGTGGCGTTGCTGCACGGCGGCCGAGCGGCCGAGAAGCTTGCTTGTACGTCCAGCCATGGACTGCTCCTCAGGTGTAGCCTTGTGCTTGTATTTTGTGCTCTTGGCGGCGCCATTAGGAACGATATTCTTGCCCCTGGCTCGCTCCTGGGCGAGAGCTGTCTTGCGAGGATCCTTGGCTCGAGTAACTCGCAACTTACGCGGCAACATGGGAGGAAATTTCTTGCCATCAAGGAGTAAGGCTGCCTCGACATCGTTGCCGTCCTGAGAAATAATGTTAGCAACTGGTCCGATCGAAGTAAGTAAGACAACCGTGGACTTACATAAAATTGGACATAGGCGAAACCCTTGCCTACACGAGTCTTGGAATCTCGAACTACTCGGACGTTTTCAACCTTGCCCTGGGTGCCAAACGTTCGCCAAAGACCTTCTTCGACATCGGATGGGGTCTTGTTCTTCTTCTTCTCCGTAGTGTCACCATCCGCGTTGGTGTTCAAGACGGTCTCATCGTCAACAAACCCGAGGTTGCCAACAAACACACACCGGCGGTGATCCGTGGGACTGGGGTGGGCGACGCTGTCAACTCTCAGGTGCCTTTCAAGGACTTGGGTACCATTGAGTTCTGCGGCAGCCTTGCGAGCAGCCGCCGAGGTTGAGTACACGACATATGCATTAGCGGACTTGGTCGTCGCGTCCATCAGGCTCTTAGTAATGTAAGCTGCTCGCTTAGGGAGAGAGCCACCTGCGAAAGCAACGGAACGGAAACGCAATGACTCGATAGTTTGCGGAGGAGTGACATCTTTATCCAGAATGGATGACAGATGGGCCATGAGGGTCTTCTTGGCGGCCTTGGAATTGATTGCTTCTGTGGACACGTTGGCGAGGAAGACTGTTCGCGCTGCCTTCTCGAGGTCTGACGACTTGTTGTTCTTGGCGAGGGTCTCATGGACGGGAATGTCACTGTCGTTGCCGGCATCCTCATCCTCCGCGACAGCCTTTTCGGTCTTATTCAGAGCATCGTTCTTTTGTCGCTTGCCGGCGCGCTCAGCTTCCTCTTCCGCAACAAGTTTGTCCAAGTATTTGCCCTCCAGATCGTCGTTTTCGTTTTTTCTCTTTCGTTTCCGATCCTTGCTTGACTTGTCTTCTGTCGCATCAATAATGTCGTCGAGCTCCACTGGCGCATCCTTCATGGGCTCGTCTGAAGATTCTTCCTCTTCCTCTTGCTCGTCTTCACTCCCCCCCTCTGGCTCCGAAGCGTCGGAAACATCCTCTTCCTCGTCTGATGGGCCATCTTCTTCGAAACTCAGCTCCTCGCTAATCTCAGAGAGGACCTCATCGTCGGCGTCTTGTTCTTCGAGTTGCACCCTTGGCTTGGGAGGTTCCCGAACCTTTTGTTCCACCAACGTCGAGTATCTTGACTTAACGGGAGCCTGCACAGGACCAGCCTGCAAATGATGAGTATGGATCAAGTCAAATGGCTAGATGTCGCAAAACTTACACTGGACGCAAAAAGAGCGTCGAGGGTGGGGTCCACCGCCTTGGAAGAAGCTGTCAGGCTTTTTGAACTGTTTTTTGTTAGATCTTTATCCGTAAAGGCATCAAGGATCTGCAAGTTACCGTTTTGCCATTGTGTCAGATTCAGTACTGTTTGTGCTGAATTGGAAAAGTTGCCGACTCTTGTGCACTCTTTTTGACCTGCGACGAAAAAGACATGAGCCAGAAAAAAGTCCCAGGTTCAGAACGGAAGACCCACAATCCGATTGCTCAGGACATGGTCATTGGTTTGATAACCTCAGCCAATCGATAAGCTCTCGTGGCACTAACAGTGAGCATTTCTGCCGTCAAGAACCGCCTTTTTACGGGCCCCGTCATTCTCTCAGCAAAGCCGCTTCGGCGCTCGCCCCAAGCCCAGAGACGACGCCCAGGGCAGCCAGCGCAAACCGGGCCGCACCCATCCCATTCCCTCTCTCTACCCTCTGTGCCCCCTCCACCAGCCCAACTTGTCGAATACAAGTTTCCTAGCTCTTCCTTACCTCAAATTCCTCTTTTGAATTTCTCATGCCGGACAGAGATCGACCCAATCGGTTGTTTCTTAGCTCACATTCACCTTCTCACGCTCCCACTCCAAGATCTTGCGTCCTCGATTTTCTAGCGACCATTCCTCGTCACCCGTCACCACGGGCGCGCTCCCACGACCCTGCGATCGACAACAGCGCTGTTTCCCGCCCAACGATACGAGAAAACACAATAGTCCTATCGAGTCAATATATAGACACGTAATCGCGTCCTTTTGCAGCTATGGCTGCCACTGCTTCCGCACCGCCGCCTCTCTCATCCCCGGCGCTTGGAGTTGCCGATCATGAGGACAGCAACATCTCCAGCCCCCTCAGTGAGGTTGACACGAAAGATGACAACGACGAAGACATTGAGCATATGAATCTCGATCATGATGACGAAGATAGCGTCAGGCGTAGCCCTCGAAAGAAGCCACCACCTACCGACGACTCGGACAGCGTTCTCTCTGAAGCTCACTCCGATGTACCCTCTGATGGCAACGTCACAGAAGCTGAAACTGAACGACTATATGATACACCAAAGCACCAAAGGCAACGAGACGTTGTGGTAGACCAATTTAACGAGGGCCAAGTCTACGAACACACTCCCAGCAAGCTTCGCAGGACAGCCAACATGCACAACGACGACGAGGACGAATCTGCAATAGATGACGACGATGCTTCTACAGGCTCCCCCACAATCGGTGAAGATTCGCCAAGAAAACGTAGTATTGCACACAATGCTGGACATGAAGACGAGCACAAAAATGACGCCCAAGAGCGGAAGCGGAAGCGTTCACCCGCCGCCGATCAATCAGAAACCGAACAGCCGCTTAGAAAACGAGCAAGTTCAGAGCATGCGACTGATGTGAACATTCCCCAGCAGCCCGAAGAGACTGTTCTGCAAGAAGACGGGCCCACCCCTGCGCCTGAAAGCACCGGTACACATACACCTGCTGAAGACACTGATGCTTCTCCCCAGAAGAGATCTACCAACAGAGAGACTGATCTGGCAGAGCGTCTTTCGCGCGCCGTAAAAAAGAACACCCGCGGATCCAAACGAAAAGCAGCGGCAGCTGTTGCTGATCTTGACCCGGACACTGACAGCGGAAGTCATGATGGCGCGCGCGACAGCGCCAGGGGAACAGACGTGGATCACCACGAAGAAGCTGATGCAGATGCGGACGAAGAAGTTGACTCGGCTACTGCACATGATGAAGAGCGTAAGAACAAATTTACTCATGATCCAGGTCATCTTACTTATCTTGTCACAGTGGAACGAAAACAAGCCGCTTTCAAGGATTGGACTGTTATCGAAGAAATGTTTGGGGTGTTTCGTGACAGGTACGTTGTATCGTGATAACAAGCATTTATCCGCTGATGTCTTGTCTAGGCTCTACAAAGACCGGCTTGAACGACTGGAAGAGGAAGAACAGTCACTCCTTGCCAGCGAACCGACACATCCCGAGTACCTAAACATGAAGCAGTGTCTGGATGATCGACTAGAACAAAAGCTACGCGAAATAAACAATGAACACGAATATCGCCTCAAGGCTCACGAGCGACGGTCCGTTGCCCAGAGAGCCCAAATATGGGGGCAGTACTACCAAGCGGTTCGTGAGAAGAGAGAAAGGACCCTAGAAGCACTTAATCAAGAGTGGTACGACATCCAGACTGCAAGGCGAAGCGCACACAGCTTGCAGGACTGCGGCTTGCTCTACCCCAAGGATCCCGCACAACGTGTGAGAAATGCGATCGCCTACAACACCGAAGTCTCAGCACTAGCTACGATTGCAAAGTACGAAGGGTTCCCCGCAGGCCCCGAGATGAGCGGGGCGACACCGTCGGAACTGGAAGATGATATAGCTGCCATTGAGGTACGTTAACAACACAAGTCAGCTCCCAGAGCACTGAGCTGACTATCGTAAGCGAGCCAAGCGATCACGACATAAGCCAGTAAACCAACGACGCGAGGAATACTATGCCCAGCCATTTGATCGCCTCGGACCCGCTGGTGAACAATTCCTTCGAGAGACGCCGTGGGCCAATCCAAACCATTTACTTCACAAGGTGCACCCTACAGCTACTCCAACGGAGGCACCTCCAGACGAGATGACCAGCCGTGGTGCGCACCAAGCCTCTGTGCCTCCTGGCGCCCAAATCACGCAATCTCCTTCACTCTCGGCACGACTATCGGAGTCTCCAGAATTGACAAGAACGTTACTTAGCCCGGCTCACCAAGCTAAACGGGTCGGCAACAGTCTGCCCGGCGTCAACCGCGGTACAAAAGCAGCAGCTACATAGACGCTGAGTGTGTTAGATTTGTGGTTGAACATATCCCTCGGATGGGACTGGATTGGTAAAACTATGGGGCATCTTGCTTTTGTACTCGGATTTTGTGATACCCAGGGGAGATGATCGGTTCAGGCCGCTGCGGACCGGGCTGTCTTTTTCTTTTTTATTTTATTTGGACTTGAGCGGCATTAGAATATTGCATTCGTCTACGGCAGCTAGTATGTATCTGTCTACTGCTATCAGTCGAGCGAAAGGCATCCACTTTGTAGGTAGTGGATAGCCGGTTGCTTGAGAGTCACTGTACAAAGGTCTTCATATGCTTATACACACCCTGCACAGAATGACTGGCAAACCTGTTGTACATGAAAGGATGGGGAGTTTTCTGGGCGTTTTTCTTTGTAGGTCTTATGAATAGCAACACTGCATTTTGCCCTCTTATACAACTTGCATCCACATCGAAATTCCAGCGCTTAATCGTACATGTGGCCAGGCCACTTGGGTGAACTGTCTACTTGGAGGCAGATGACTTTGCGGGCGCATCTGGGACCTTGACATCTTCGAAATTGTCTTGACCAACGGCGTTAAGCGTATACCAATCTAGACCACGTTAGCAGAGGATGACAACCACACAAGAGCTCTCTCTCTGCATACAGATGCTTCCAACGACAGCCAAGAGACCAAGGCCTGTCACGGCATTTTTGACAAGATAGGGCCGTCGTGCTCGTACAAGCGCAGGGCCCTGTCGCAGACGGCGATCGTAGTATGTTGAGTGCGGGCTGTTTCAGAGTCATGATCAGCCCACTTCAGTGACTGTTTTTCAGTAAACAAACCTGGTGGGCATCTTGGATGGTCGAATTGTCAATGATTACAAGAGTTATCCTGAGCCAGGCCACAATGCAATTGAAGAGGGCCAATTGCTTAAATGCTGCGAGATATGCCTCTATCTCGAATGTACTTCGAGTGAATGTTGATGCGCCTTTGTACTGAGGTAAGAAGAATATTTGCGGCTAAACATCGGGCGGATGGAGGATGACCGTGACGTCTATTGAACTTTCCTTACCTTAGTTCCAGGTTCTTTGTGGAGCTTGCTTGCTTGCAAGGGTCTGTTTCCGTTTCCACGTTCCATATTCTTTGCTTTCGCGTCGCCATTTCAAAAGAATCAGGTCTGAGATATACCAACCCCAACAGCGACAACGACAACGACAGCGCGGAACGAATCCCCGACGTGTATGAGGACGCCGCGGCACGCGCCACTTCCGATCCTTTGATGAAGCTGAGCGGTTGATGCAAAGCATGCACAGCTACAAAGCTTAAGCCTAGTCGCGCGACCACGGTTCACGAGCCGCATCGGCATCTTTATCTGCGAAAACCAATTCATCGCACACTTACAGGAAGCTTATAATTTCATCATCCGCCGACACCTACCGCCGCGACCGAGAACCCGACCAATAAATCATGGCAGCGAATCTCTCAGTGTCGGACCAGATCCGGCAGCTTGATGATGCACGAAAGTTGGTTTTGGGAGATGTCAAATATTATCCCAGTGTTGTCAAGGGAATACTGCCCATCATCGGACCAAGTGCAGCGCTCGAGCTGCGAAGATGGGGCGCCGAATTTCTAGCTGAAGCTTTTTCGACGCCTGCTCTACCAAATGGAGAAAAGGAGACAATGCAACCTTATGTTTTACCAACGTTGGAGTCTATGCTCGAGAACGAGCGTGAAGACCCTCAAGTTCTGCGAAGTGTGATCCAATGCGTTGCCAGTATCTATCCCTTGGCGATGAGGTGGATGTATGATGAGACTGCCCTGCGAGATGCAAGATTTAGCTAATGTGACTATGTAGCATCAACAACGGATACGACACAATCACTTGGGAAAGAATGGTAGCCGTGAAACAAAAGGTTCTAAGGATATGGGACAATGCTAGCCCTACCGTGAGGATTTGTTGCATCAAGTTCGCGCAGCGTGTAGTTCTGGCACAGACAGCAGCGACGGGTTCTGAGCTACGAGTATGAGTCTGTGATCTAAATAAATGGGATGTCGCTAACATGTTGAAACAGTATGGCGGTACTCTAGATGTCTCGCTAGATAAAGTCCCCCCAAATCACCAGTCACTTGATCCTCGTAACTTAGAGGCTGAAGCGTCCGGACTACTGGATAGAATGTTGGCAACTCTACAGGAGAGCAGGTAAGAGGGTCGCTTTTGACTGTAAATGCCCGTGTAACTAACTGTACGCGAAACTGCAGCGATGCTCTGCTCGTAGACGCAACGTTGAACT